CCCTGAGACTACCTGGCTTATATTAGGTGCTTAGTGAAGATTCACCCCTTCCATTCCTCTTTTCTGGGTCTTCAGAATGTGAGGTGAAGAAGCCATTCTTCCCTCACGCTAAGGCAAACTGGTCCCGGGTCTTTGGCATGGAAGAACCACACGGTTCCTTTGTGTTGCACTGCTGACGCCAGCATACCCCATTTCTGAATGCCTGAAGTCCTGTGGGCCTGAAAACTGGTGCAGTGATCTGGCTGTCTCTCCCCTGCCTTGCGCTCCTGGAAAGAAAACCCTGCGCCCAGGGGCTGCCATTGCCGGGCCAGCCTTCCTCCACGGAGTCCCGGTGACTGAGGCGGCAGCTCAGGTGGAGAGAGGCTGCATCCACCCTGCCTGGGATGCTGACCCGTGCGCCCCTTCTGCCGTGGCTTTAGCTGGCTTGTGGTCTGGAATAGGCTCCTTAAAAAAGGAAAGTATGACCCGAAGGGATTTTAATAATAAAAATTGAAATTCTGAGGCTGGTGAAATTCTAAGAACTGTGGAAAGATATAAAGGGCCAGTGCAAGTATGTAATTCCAAGTCACCTGGAATCATGAAGCACAGACTGTACTTTGTTCTGTCCTTTACCTGTCTTCTCTCTGACTGTCCTCCCTGTACCTCTAATGACATCTAGGGACATTGTCATTAGCCCTAGTTTACAGGCAAGACAGCTGAGACAGGGAGGGCACCCAGCTTGCCCAGGTTCATACACCAGCTGTGGAGGGGAGTCCAGATCCCTAACCACTGCACTTGTTGCCTCTGACTCGAGGCTTTCCATAGTGAAGATGCATGCGGCACAGCCTGGGGAAAGGCAGCATTTTCCAGGTCAGTGTGCTGGGAAAGAGAGACAGGCACAGCTCGGGGAAATGACCGGGTTTCTTTGTCCGATGGCTACAGAAGAACGTCAGCGCAGTCGGGATCCTCAGCAGAGAAGTCAGCCATGCTCTGTGGGGGTGGGGTGGGCAGGGTTGCAGACCTCGTGGCCCCAAGCCCCACCAGCAGCTGTCAGAAAGGTTATGCTGGGCCTTCTGGAAGCCCAGCAGCTTCACACTGGGCCCAGCCCTGGGTCCTTAAGACCACCCTCCACTGAAGGTGTTCTGGAGACCTGCCTCCCCTGAGCTTCATGCTCCTTGTCAGTCCTCAGACGCCAATGCCCAGTGTGATTGCAGGGAACAGCTCAGTCCTCACGTGTCCTCCAGTGTTCCCCCAGCCAACAACCTGCCAGTCCACAGGCCCTCCGGAACCCCATGCCCAGGACCAGACCAAGGGTGAGTTCCCACACGTCTCTAGAAGCCAGGCCACCACCCCTGCCTTAGGCCAGCTATAGGACTTTCCCACCTGGCAAGAAGGGACCAACTATCTTCAATCAGCTAGTGTTCGTCACGCCTCTGTGCTGTGCTGGGTGCTAGTTGTGTCATTAGAAATAACGGCTGTGTTGGTTGAGAGCTCTGCCCAGCCTGGGCCCAGGTGCCATCTCCGCCACTCCGTAGCTCTGTGGCTTTGAGCAAGTCACTTCACGTCCCCGTGCCTCAGCTTCCGCACCTGTACCAAGGGGCTGACAGAGGCCTGCCAGCCTCGGATTGTGAGGTTCGCTGGGCCAATTTGTGTGGCAGCCCTGGCACAGGGCTGGCCCACAGCAAGTGCCGGGCGTTAGGGCTGAATGGCTGCTGTGTGCCAGTCCGTACAGAAGATGTCTGGGGTCATCCTGGCACTCACCTGTGAAGTAGAGAACGCTGCCATCTCATTTCACTGAGTGGGAAACGAACTCGTGCCAAGGGGTCTCCCCAGAGGCACAGAAATGAGAGGTTGTAGAGCTGAGACTGACCCGTCGTCCTGAGCCCTAAGCCCGCTTATCCCCGAAGTCTGATGGTCCGCCCATCTGGCTGTCGGCAGAGGAGGCAGCTGTGCCCTCGGAGGAGGCTCTGACGGGCCTGCATCCGTGCTGTGGAAGCCGAGAGGCGGGAACAGTCCTGCCTGGATGCTGCTCGGAGGGGAGGCTTCAATGGCTGGGAGGTTGTTTCCTTTGCTGCCCTTTGAGTCCATGAATGTGTAACAATGTTTCTCCTCTTAAACTTGTGTTTATTTGGAGGGCTGTTCTGTGTATCTTCTTGGCTAATGAGCCCCTTAAGGAAGTTAAAATGGAGTAGAAGGAAAAACGCCGGGCTGCTGCTGAGCGTGGCAGTCTGCTGCGTGCATCGTGTCACCACTCACACAGGAGCCAGTGTCCCTGGCCTTGGGTCACTGCTGTTCTCAGTCACATGGACATCTGTCCATCAGGGGCTGTGTGTCACCCCAGGGCTGGGCCCTGGGCTCCCAGGCAGACTGCCTGGTAAAACCCAGCTCCTCTCTTGCTAATGAGTGGGGATTGGGGCAAGTTCCTCAGCTGCTTACGTTCTCTGAGTGTGACTGGGGTTGCAGCCCTGCCCCGTAAGGCTGTGGTGTGGACTAGCTCACGTGACACAATGACACAGGCGGAGTGCTGAGATCAGCGTCTGGGAGGCGGCTCTCGCTCGAGTTGAGTGGTAGGAATGTTAGTATAGGGACAGTGGGCTGCTCTCTGAGCACCATCTCAGGAGCGAGATGAGAGAGGGCGTGGGGCGGGGGGAGACCCAGTGGGGGACGACCTGGTGGGCAGTGTTTTGTTTGTGTTGGCTAGCAGGTGCCTCTGTCGCAAGGGTGGACCCAATCCCTGTCACCTGAGCCTTGAATACTCATAGTTGTCACCTGTACAGGTGGGCCCAAGAGTCCCCACATCCATGTTTTCCCCCTAGTTGCTTAAGGCTCCCATCCTGAGAGAGAAAGATGGAGGGAGAAGGCAGGTGCCTGGAGCCAAGGTCAAAGCCTCAGGGTGCGGGAGGACCTGGCAGGACCGGGCAGGCATGGAGGGCACTGGGGCTTGAGGAGGCCTGCACCGTGGTATGGGTTCATGTTTTACTACTAAGAAGTCATGAACTGAGGGGTTTTCTGTCACTTTGAGGGGTGGAGGGGAGTCAGCACTGTCAAGGCCATCCCCATTCCCACCGACCGCCCCGGATGGGCCCTCCTGGAAGGTTCTGGTGGGTCAGACTCAGCAGAGTTTACTGTGAGGGTGATATGGATGAGTTCAGGCCCTGAGCTGCTTTCTTATTTATGAACTTCACCTGTAAGCTACGTGCTCTGTCCCCTTCAGTCCCCCCTGTCCTGCAAGGTGGGTGAGCCTGAGCTAGCTCAGACAGCCGTCTCAGTCTGCAGTGCTCTGGTGTGGCCGTCGCCGCCACAGCGCCTGCACAGGAGGTGGCTGCAGACCAGCTTGATTGCCGCCTGTCTTCGTGGTGGCACTGAGGGTTCTGCCCCTCGTGTGCTGATGAAAGCTGGTGGGGAAGCCACCTGTGTCCCTGCTATAACAATCACTGCAGACCGAGTGACTCAAAACAACAGTGATTTATTATTTTTCAATTCTGGAGGTCAGAAGTCTGAAATGGGTCTCCCTGGGCTGAAATCAAGCTGTCAGCAGGGCCATGTTGCTTCTGGAAGCTCAAGGACAGAATTTGTTCCCTGGCCTATTCCAGTTTCTAGAAGTTACCCACATTCCTGAGCACAGGGTCCCTTCCTTCGTCTCCAAAGCCAGCAAGCGGAGTGCCTCCAGTCCCCACTCTTACCCTCCTGCCTCCTTCTTATGGTGCCTGTGATATAACATCGGTCCCTCAGGCAACCCACCACCGCAGCCACGGCCACAACAAAAGCCTTAATCACACCTGCAAAGTTCCTTTACCACAGAAGATAGCATATTCACAGGTTCAAGGAACCAGGGTGTGAACACCCCTGAGGGGTGTGTGTCTGCCTCCGCACTGTCACACGTCACAGAGAGCCTCAGTGCAGAGTCCTCTCCTTGGTGCTGGAGGCCCGCGGTCCTCTCTCAGCAACTTTGCCCTGTCATTTGCAAGCTGCTGGATGCTTGCATGAGTTAGTTGACCACTCTGTACCTCCATTTCTTCATCTGTAAAGTGCCTTCTCGGGTTGTCAGGATCCAATGAGTTAGCACGTGTAAAGTGCCAAGACTTTTGCTTTCCCTTATACCTTCCTCTCGTCCCAGCCATGGGCACGCACTGTCGTTGTCCCCATGTTGTGCTTTTGGAGGTTGAGTGGAGGTGCAGTGTGGTGGTCTGGAGGCAGGTGCCAGCCCAGTGTGGGGTGGCTTCTCACGGTACTGCCACTTGGTCCCCCGTCATCGTTTTTTTGTATTATTCATAAAAGCCAGTGCTATGCAGAGGGCTGTTGGGCCTGTGATGGTGGCAGCTTCCGCCTCTCTTTGAGCTGTCTCCTTGGACTAAATTTTCACACTTGGAATCACTTTGTTAAAGGCCTGAAATGGCTTAGTTACAGGGGTGTGCAACCCACAGCCCAGGATGGCTGTGAATGGGGCCCAACACAAAATTGTAAGTTTACTTAAAACTTTTTTTTTCTCATCAGTTTTCTCTAGTGTTTGTGTATTTAATGTGTGGCCCAAGACAACTCTTCTTCCAGTGTGGCCCGGAGACACCAAAAGGTTGGGCACCCTGGAGGTTGTAGAACTCTCACTCTGCTGCCACGGTCTGTTGGCAGTGGGTATCGGCTTAGTCGGGAGAAGATGGTTTTCATTCTTTCAGTGATACTGTTTGCATACCTACTGTGTGCCAAGCACTGTCCTGGGAGCTGGGGAGACGATGTGAAAGATAGGCATGGAGCTTTTCTCAAGGAGAAGGCTGCTGTTCACTTAATGGGACTAACAGGGCACTTCATGACTCCTTTCATTTGTGTTTCTTTGTTCACTAATTATGTTCAAAGCAAAAGGCAGTTTCATGGAGTAAATTTTTGGGTCTTTTACCCCAGGACATGCAGTTTTACAAGTTCCACACTCAGCGCTATGTATGGCCTTTCTCTGGGTCTCTGTCTCTGCTGAAGTCGCCTCCCCTACACTGTGCTGTTCACTCACTGCTGGGAAATGCTTGTGCTCCCAGGGACCGACGTCATGGTGCGCTGCCTCAAGCTGCTGAAGGAGTTTAAACGGAAGGTTGAAGACCAGGATGACGATGACGATGAGGAGGTCATCTCCAAGGCAGTGCCTCCGGTGGACATCGTGTACGAGCGGGACATGCTTACACAGACCTATGAACTCAGTAGGTTCCGTACTTGCCTGCCTGCATACAGTTCCTGAGCGCTGGAGGCAAGAAGTGTTTTGTCCGTGTGTCCAAGAAGGGTGCGCTCTTGAGAGAATGGAGCATGGTGGGAAGCACCATGGTTCCCTTGAAGGGTGCAGGCTTCTGGATCAGATTTGAATTTGAATTCTTGCTCTGCCTCTTGTTAGCTCTAGGACTTTTTAGAAAGATATTTTTCTTTTTAGAGAGAAGGGAAGGGAGGTAGAAAGAGGTGGAGAGAAACATCAATGTGCAAGAGATACTTCAATCAGTTGCCTCTTGCACACCCCCAACTGGGGACCTGCTCTGCAACCGAGGCATGTGCCTTGATAGGGAATCGAACCGACGACCTTTTGGTTCCCAGGCTGGCACTCAGTCCACTGAGCCACACCAGCCGGGGCTAGCTTCATGACTTTAGCAAGTCTCCAAGCCACCATAGCATGTAATGAGGACTAAATGAGGAATAGGTTTAAAACATTTGGTGTATATAGTGCCTGATACATAGGAAGCTCTAAAAAATTAGCCACTGAAGGCTGAGAATTCCAGTGATAAAGGGGGAAAATCTGTTTCCCCTCATTCCTCAGCTTTCCTCTAGATTCCCTAAAGTCTGTGTAACACAGCAGTGACCCAGCACAGGAGGAGTGGCTGTAGGCCCCTATGGGGAGGGGAACAGTAAACGGTGAGGCAGCTGGGGGAGATCTGGTTCAGCTGGCATGTACCAAGGACACACTGGCAAAGTGGCACAGCCTTTTTGGAGGGCCGTTTGGCAGCTGTTGACATTTCTCAGAATGGGTTCCTCAGAACAAAGTTTGGGGAAAGCCGGCCTTAAAAGCCCTTTCATCCCATGACTAGCATGTTACTAGTTCAGTATGGGAACACCACATTCTGATCACCTCTTTTCATTCTGATGTTTATTTTTGTATATGCACAATACAGCAAAACCTCCTTTATCCAGATTGGTTTTACCTGGCCTCCTCAGGTGTATGACGAATCAGGAAGTGAAAGGGAAGATACTTCTGAGCTTTGCCAGAAAGTCTGCCCTGAGGTTCATGTATTTTGCTGGAGGGACTGCCCTCGAGTTCCCAGTCTCCAGTCCAGTAAATGTGGAGGGCTTCTTAGAGAGAGAGGGACAGCACTAGCCCTGGGCAGTGACTGTGTAGCAGGGCAGGAGCCAATGAACTAGACGGAGCAAGTGCTAATGCACAGTCATCTGCTGGCCATTTAGATGGGGCCAGATAGCATTGTTTTCCCCCATAGTCCCTGCTGGCCGCAGCTGTGTTAGGACAATACAAAACTCGGTGTCCATAATGCCTCTGAGTCTACTGAGAAAGACGGAAAATTTTAAAGTTCTTAATTAAAAATTATTTTGATGTGTTTTAAAAGGGTTCATTTCATTTATCTGTAAAAGCCCATTCATGTGAAAGAAAGTGCTAACTTCCCGCTGCGGGAACTTAATAGGTCGCAGTTGATTACTTGACATTTGGGTGGTGAACACTTAAACACAGGCTCTTAGTGGTGAGCCTGGGTTCACTACTGAGAACGGGTTCTTGAGAGAGGAGAGAGGAGTCGTTTATTTTATTCTGTTTGTTGGTTTCACTGCACTGAAATGTCTGCTTCTAAAAGGTGGGTGGGAATTGACTTTGCAGAGGTTGGGGTTCAAGTGTATTGTTTCACACAGTTGAGCGCAGAGGCACAAAAGGAATCTCCCAGGCTGAAATCCGAGTGGCCATGAATGTGGGGAAGCTGGAAGCAAGAATGCTGTGTCGCCTTCTTCAAAGATTCAAAGTTGTCAAGGTAATGTCGTGAGGCCTTCAGCGGGCTGGGTGTGCACATGGTGTGGCTGGGTAGCAGTGTCTCAGCGCGTCACCGCATGACATAGGCTGCTGTCTCTGTCAAGGAGGCAAGGGACTGCTGGGGGCCAAAAGTCAGCAGGATGTGTGGCAGCATGGGGAGCCCCCTCCCAGGTGGGGGTCCCACTGCAGCGGGCCAGCATCCGACTTCCCTTTCAGACAAAGCAGGTGCTCCGGGGCTCCACAGGCCCCACCTGGCCCTCCTCTCTTCTCTGTTACTCGCCTGGCTCCCGGGGACGTGGAGCTGGTGAACTGGGCGTGTCGGGTGTCCTTGCAGAACCCAGGCCCCCTTTCTCAGCCCGTATGCCTCACCCTTCTCGTGAACTTTTTGCCCATTTTGCTGGAAGGCGGTACTAGAGTCAAGGTGTTGATTGCAGGGCACTTCCCACTGCTCTTGGCCTATGGTTGCTATGCAAAAGGTGCTACTCTTTCTGCCTGTAAGGGCCCTAGGAGGGCCCCTCTCCCCTGTCCAAGAGAACAGAGTGAGTATGGGTTGGCGATAGCCTTGTCGTCAGTCCCATGGCAGTGGCTGGATGGAGCTGGGGATGTCCAGGCCCTGATTGGCCAGTCTGTGATGGCAGTTCTAAACCATCAAAGTTTGCACAGCAAATACTCAGTACTTAGTAACCTTTCCTTTGGGGCCTAGTTGTGAGCCAGGCATTGGGGGCATGTGGAAGACCAAGTTGGGTCTCTGCCCTCAAGGAGCTCACAGTCTGGTAGAGCATTCAGGGACACAATTGGGCAGACGTCCTCCGACAGGCCTGTGGAGCAGGACCTGAGGGGTGACACGACAAGCAGGTTGAGGGAGCACTGACAGGGCTGCACGCGGGGCCCAGGCAGTGAGACGGAGGCGATGCGGGTGAGTGCAGCAAAGAGAAGGGAACGGACACCACAGCCCGCGGGCCTCTTGAATGCCTGTGTATCACCGCGCCCTCTTTTGAGTATAATTAAACACATCTCACCTTCCCAGGGGTTCATGGAAGACGAAGGGCGGCAGCGGACCACCAAGTACATCTCCTGCGTGTTTGCAGAGGAGAGCGACCTGAGCCGGCAGTACGAGAGAGAGAAAGCCCGGAGCGAGCTGCTCACCACCGTGAGCTTGGCCTCGGTGCCAGAGGAGTCCCTGCAGCCTGAAGGAGAGGACACTTTCCTCTCCGAGTGGGACAGTGAGGAGGAGGGCGGCAGCAGCAGCAGCAGAAGGAGAGGCAAAGGTTCACAGGGGGATGCAAAACCCTCTTCAAGCATCAGTCTCGGGACGCAGCCTCATCACCCCATCCCGACCAAGGGTACGGGCGCTCTCAGGCGGGCGCTCTCGGGTGGAGCAGGGCAGGGCGGGTGCCCTGCATCAGAGCCAGTGCCAGTCCACCCTGCTTGGGGTTTCTGCAGAAAGCCCATTCAGTTCAGCAGACACCTGAGAATGTCCTTGGTGCCATCCTTATTTGGGACCTGTTGGGGTCACATACATCATATAATTGTAGAGGAGACAGTCATGTGGTCTGACCCCTGGCTCCTTGGCAGATGCTTTGTTTGTTTTGTTCTAACTATTAAAGGGAATTCCATAAGCTTCCTCTGTCCCTTCCCTCCAGCAACCTGAGAATCCCTCAGGTTTTTAGTTTAGTTATAGAAGATGTGTTTGTTTATTTGTTCGTTTGTTTGTTTAATGTGTGGAGGGTAGTGCTGATGACAGATTCGCAAATCTGGTAACCAGCTCAGGGGCACCAATCGGTTCGCTTGGTCCTCTGCCCTCACCTTTAAACTGGAGCACAGACTCTTGGCCTGTGTGGGTCTGCCTGGCTGTCGAGCATAAAATGCCCCTCGCTCTCCCCTTGATGTGCCCACAGTTCATTCCTTCTGCATCTGCCCTCCACTGCAGGTGGCTGGAAAGTAAACCTACACCCGTTAAAGAAGCAGCCGTCTTCCTCCTCAGGAGCCGCTGAGGACAAAGCCAGCCGGAGCTCTGTCGGTGGAGGCAGAGTCCTGGACCCCAGCAGCTCCTCGGACCCCAGCGTGTCCTTTGGGTCCCACTGTGTGGAGAATAACAGTGGTGACATAGCTGTGATTGAAGAGGTCAGGCTTGAAAACCCGAAGGTAAGCGAGCACCCGCAGTGAGAGTGCATTTTCTGCAGGAAACAGCCTGCGGCGGGTGGGCATCAGCCTCACCGGTTCTGTGCTTACAAGTCACAACAACAAAAGGAAAAGGCGTCAAGTGCTTGGCGCTCGGTGCACTCCAGGCAGCGGGCAGGCACTTGGGAGGAAGGCTCATTCGCACTCTGCCTGGGTACAGCCGCACCCCACCTACCACAGGCCCCCTGCACTGTTATCTGGAGTTTTAAAATTTCCAACAACATACTCTTTTTGCTTAAATTTGTTTGGGAGGGAAAATTTTTATGGCCAGTTTTTAGATCAGTGGTTCTCACTTTGGCCCATTTTGCCCCCCAGGGAATATTTGGCAATGTCTGGGGATATTTTTTAATTGTCACCAGTTGGGGGAGAGGGTTCTCCTGGCATCTGTAGAGGCCAGGGATGTCGTTACATATCCCAGAATGTGTATCCCAGGACAGCCCACAGCAGAGTGTCATCACCCAGCCTAAAATGTCAGTGCCGGAGTGAGAAACTGCGTTAGGTGAAAAGCCAATATCATTACCATAAAAAGAGGCAAACCGTAAAATAGATGTAATGAAAATAAAACCACCTGGGTACATTGGGGCCAGAGACTGTTGCACATTAGAGGGTAAAAGGCACAATAGAATCAACCCGATGCTTTTTCATCAACATAATGAGGCAGATTAAAAGACAATTGACACAGGGACCCCCTCCTCATATGAATCAGTTCCCTGTCCTTTGTCACCAGAAGGTGCCTCAGATGTTGGTGGTGCCTCCTGCACTTTAGAAACACAGAGTCAGGGGAGGTGGCCCCAGCGGAGAACAGGCCTGTGACCAGGGTGGCTTTGGATGCCGTCGCTGCCGTCTCACTCAGGCTTCACAGCAGCCCTGCAGGTCTGGGAGGAGGAGAGTGGGGGCTTTGGGGAGTGAGTGAGGCACCTGCCCGGTTTATAACACCGCAAGGACTAGAACCCACGTGTGTGGAGTTCCCGCCCGCCTCCCTGGCCTCTCCCTTTCCGTATGGAGGCCTGTGCAATTGCTGGATGGGGTCTGGGTTGGGAAAGCTTTTCTGTGGATTTGCTAAAAGGACCTTTTGGCCCTTTCCTATCCTTCGGATGCCACGACTCCCGCTGTTGTGGTTGGCATCGTCTCTAACTGAAGAACCTCGGCTTGCCCGCCGGCAGATCTCAGCAGGTTCCCGAGGGTTTGCCTGCCTTCCGCCCCCTCCTCCCCCTCCTACCTTCCTCATATCTCCCTACAGACCCTAGATATCCTGTTTGCTTCCTAGCTCAGCTCTTTCTCTTCCTCTTAGAAATTTGTTCCCAAAGTAATGGCAGAGTCCCATTCTTTTTGCACTTGCTGATACTCAGAGGGGTGTGAACAATGTTACCCACAGGTCCCTTGGCAAAGCATGTTTTCACTTTGCTCTCTAGCACCGAGGTGAAAGTGGCCACATTTACTCATGTGCTTCTCCTCCAAACATTTGCTCTGAAATGCAAGAGAGAATACAGGTCTTTCCGCCTCTCTTGTGCCCCTTCTGAACCTTTGAATGTGTCGCCCCTCGAGCCCGGCTGCCTGAGTGGTAGAACTGCCTCACCGGAGCCCCAGCAGAGGGCAGGGCAGCGGTCCGTTGTGACGCTGATGTTGAGTAGCCCCCTGAGCGAGCTCCCGCTCTCCTGAAAGCACCGCTCCAGGCGAGGAGGGCGTCCAGCAAACCGGGCCCGGGCTGCCCTGTGGCGCTGATCTGCGCCAAAGGCTTGCAAGGAGCACGTTAAGATTGGGGTTTCCTTCCGTGTGAGGTGCACGTATCGGCACGTGTTTGATCTGAGAGCTGATGGAACAAGCTCATTTAGGCTCCTAGAGACAGAAGGGAGCCATGAAGGAACAAGTGCCCGTTTTAGCAGGAATGAGAAGGAAAACTCTGGTCTTTCTTCTTCTCCCTTCACTTTCCCCTTGCCATTCACCCTGATTTCCCTAGGCAGCCTGTTCTGAACTCAGAAGCCTGCCTCTGCTCCTGCCTTTTTTCCGCAGAGAGGTTTCCCATGACTTCCTGGATTTGGAGTCAGAAGCCCATGAGGCGTACATAACTTGTCCGGGACAGTGACTTGGCCTCACTGAGCCCTGGTTTCCTCTTCTGTAAAATGGGAACTGTAATAAGGTGTTGAAAGCTTTTGATGAAAAAGTCCCATAATAGAGTGGCTGGCATGGAGCCATGCTCAGTGTGTCAGTTTTCTGGGGAAGAGCCAAGAGGAAATTGAGCGAGTGCTTTCAGCTGCTTTAGGAGGTGCTGTAGTACATGCCTCTGAGTCCTGTTCTAAAACCAGCTGATCTTCATCAAGTTCCAAGATCGTCTGCTGGCAGATGTCTTTGTCCTTTCAAAGCATTGAAACGGTGGGAGGGGGGTGGAATCCTGTCGGGGAGACAGACCTCTTGGCTTCCTTCTAGAGACATGGGCACCAAAACTCCATGAAGAGGGAAGGCGCACCCCAGGGATGCTCTCTGGCCCCTGAGCTGAGCTCATTGTGTCCTTGTGCTTTCGGTCCCTGTCCCAGGAGAGCAGCAGCTCCCAGAAGACTACGAGGCACCACGGCCCAGGCCCAGAAAAACCCCACAAAACTTACCGACTGCTGAAACGCAGGAATATGATCATAGAAGCCGTCACCAACCTCCGCCTGATTGAGAGCTTATTCACGTAAGCAGCAGTCTCTCTCTCTCTTGCACTCATGATAAATGTCATGCCAGTTAGTCATCACAAGCGCAGAAATGACCAAGAACTGTTTGAATCTCTCTTGCCCTGTGTAGATCTCATGGTATCCCTTTGTAGTAGAAGAGTTAGAGCTTGTTCTTGTGACTTGACGAGGGTAGATATTGAGGGATTTCAGTACTGCAGACAGAAAGAGGTGACTGAGCAAGAAATAAAAGTCCTGGGAAAAGTGCATGTGACTTTCTCCTTCCTTGGAAATTTTGTGGTAGCAAAAGAGTAAGAAGAAACTTAGGCAGGCAATAGCATCTCCTAAAATCTTACATGAAAGCAAAAGTTAAAGACACAAGTAGAACTTCTCTGTGGGGGTGCCTCTGCACTCTGGTTCGGTCCTTCCGACCTACTGTCACCACCACCTCTTAGGCGGCGTCTCCGTGGCTTCTCGGGCACCCAGCGTGGGAGCCGCTTGAGCCAAAGATGTGACTTCCCTACCTAGGCGCAGGGGAGACCATCTGCAGCCGCCAGTGCTGAGCTCCTCTCTTCTGTGCAGTGAGGGGTTTGGCTAGATGTTCCTGGTGTCCCTACTCTCCCTGCCATTGCCGGCAGTGATCTAGAAACATCACCACAGGGACTCAGTAAGATCTAGAGAGTGAGGTGTGTGAGGAGAGGAGTCAGAAAGAGCGTCAGATCTGAGGGTGTCAATGGTGGGAAACCGGAGCATTCCTCACTGGCGTTAAATTGGCAGAGAGACAGGTAGTCCTCATGGTTCTCCGTTTCCCTGCCATTGTCGCCACAAACCCTGTGATCCGTTGAGCTCCTGGGGGAGAGCTCAGAATGTGAAACCGCTGCACATGTTTAGCTAACTGTTTATCTCAGAGAGAGATGATCTCACTGTCTCAAGAACTCAGCCTCTCAGTGGTGAAACCCCCTTTAATTCTTCCCTAGTTTCTGCTACTTGCCATTAGTCATGTCTCCATTGCCTGGGTTGAGAAAGGCCTCCGTGTTGAGATTAGAAATATTAACTTCTTATTTTGTAATGTCCCAGGATTCAGAAAATGATCATGGATCAGGAGAAGCAAGAAGGCGTGTCCACCAAGTGCTGTAAGAAGTCCATTGTCCGCCTGGTGCGGAACCTGTCCGAGGAAGGTCTCTTAAGATTGTACCGGACCACGGTTATCCAAGACGGCATCAAGAAGAAGGTAACTGCATCCCCCCCCCCCCCGCCCCCACTGATGCCCCCAGAGCCAGCTGGGTACTGCTGGAAGTTTTCTAGCTTCTCGTATCCTTGTTGTGTCTCGGCCATTCCTTTGTTGTCAGTAATTTCCCGTTATGCCTTCTGATTTGGGGGTACACGGATTATCCCAACTTCCTGTGGAAGCGGGAAACAGAAAAGGGGAATATTGTGCTGGAGCTTAGAGCGGCGTGTGTGGCCCAGGGCCAGTCCAGCCCCGCAGCCAGTCTCGGGAGGGGGGAGGGAGAGGGAGGCACGCTGACACCCCGCAGAGCGGCATCTGCAGAAGCTCAGCAGCGTTCAGGAGGTGGCCATTTCAGACTAAGCAGCGAACACACTTCCCACAGAGATCCGAGGAAACACACCCCAGAGGGGACAGTGGCTGCGGCTTGGCCAGGAGGCACTGCTGGGTTACCCGTGGGGGACAGCCTATCCCTTCTGTTCCAGTTCATCTGTTTCTGTGAAATTTAAGGTTTGGGGCCGGCCGTTCCCATAACAACTGTAGCTCAGTGGCTTTGAACATATGGTAAGGCCTCCAGTTTTCAGGGTCAGGATAACTGGAGAGCCCAGCCAGGTGCTGGGACCTGAGGGAGCGGTGCCGCGGGACAGTCAGTTCCCGGGCCTGGTCTGTGTGTGACCGACTGCACTTTGAATCTCTGCCTTAAGAGAGCTGTGCTTTGATGTTTTGCTTTCTTAATAACCTGCAAGGTCATTTCTGTTTTTCACTTTATCTTATTTATTGAGACATTTGAAATTTGAAAAACATAGAGCAGTACGAAAAATGACTTTAAGAAACACATTTCCTGCCATTCCCAGTTGGCAGCACTCATCAGTTTTTAGATCTGCGGCGAGTCCCCTCGACCTTGCTCCTCTCCCATCCCCAGCCACCCGCCACTCATCCCTTTGAGCAGTGCCAGGCGCTCCTTGTGCTGACATCTCTCGTTGCAGGGCAAAAGCCCCAGCCTGTCAGCCACAACACCCCTGATTTCTGTCTGTCTTCACAGAGCGGGCCTCTCAGACAGGCAACCCTCTCAGGGCAGAGACTGAGGGCAAGGAAACCTCCCCTCATCCAAGCGTGGGGAGGGGCAGACTGGCAAAAGTCTCCACTGTGTCCCCAGCTCCTACTTGGCCCTGTATCCCCCAGGCAGTAACAGAAGGAGTGGGCGAGGGTGGGGGTGGGCAGCAAGCCCCGTGGATACACGCTGAGGATCACAAAACCTCAACGATAAAGGTGATCCGTCCTGGGGGCTCTTTACCACAAGCACCACTACAGCGGTACCACTAAATGGTGCCGTGTTTCTGCAGCCGGAAAGGGCTGCAGTATCGTACATCTGCCTCCAGTGTAAGCGTAAGTGTCTCAGCAGCACTTTCTCTGGCACCTAGAGCACCGCTGCCCTGGGCAGCCTCCTGGTCTCCTAGAGCCGCATGGACCGGAGTTGCTGAGCCCTGGGACCAGCCTTTGCCTTGGCTTCTGCATCCAGCTGTCTGCCCATCGGGCCTTTGGGAAGTTGGCTGGGCCATTTGGCTGTGGAAAGTGGGAAAACAGGAAGGCTTTGTGTTTGCACCGTGCTTTTAAATGCTCTGGGTGTTGCCTAACTGAATTTCATTTGAGCCTCAACAAAACCACAGAAAAGTTGGCAGGGCATGAGGAAGGGGTTGCCGTTTCACAAATGAGGAGCCAAGCAGGCTTAGCCAAGTCAGCCTGTAAGTCCCCATCTTGTGAGCGTTGCTGCCTGTTCCCTGGGACTGAACCTCTTTCAGGCCATTTTTGTCAGAAAGCCTCCTGGCCAGAGGTAGCCATTTAGAACACCGTACCTTGCTCTCTCTGGCCGATGACAGAGACAAAAAAGAGGCCACCTGTCCACGTTCCCAGGCCGTTGTGCCTGCCATCCACTGCACAGCTGTCACTCCCCCTCTGCCTAACTCCACCATGCTGCTTCCATTCGGCATCCTAGTTGTCCCTCATGGGGTGACAACCACTCTAACTCGGGACAACCACTCTAACTCGGTTTCAGTACCTCAGAAAAGGTGGAACAGAAGCAGTTCTAAATCCTCTGCAGTCGGGACTCTTGCACCTGGCAGGAGTCCCACGGCGGCACTCAGCGAGGGGAGATTAATGGAAGCCATTTTCCTTCTCCAGATGGAAGCTCTCAGGATTCACAAGTGACTGTGGGGCATTCTCAGATAGCAGGAGTGGGGCCTCGGGAGCATCTCCCCAGGTAGATGTGAGACCAGTGGGCCGTGACCCCCAGTGAGGGGACGACAGGGAAGAGTGCCCTATTTCTAGGCCGGAGTTCCTCACCTGAGCAGAATTGCACATTACTGATGGCAGAGCTTCATCACTTGATCACCTGAGGGATTTGACAGTGGCAAACTGTTTAGCAATGTGCTTTGTTTGCTCAGTCTCTTACCTGTCTTTTGGAAATGTTAGTGAAAACGGGTGTAGTCAGTGCTCCACCCGGGAGCTGAGTTGTGGAGCTGTCTCCCTCTGCCCCTCCACCCTTCGGGGCGCTCTGCCCTCTCCCTGCAGGTGGACCTGGTGGTGCACCCGTCCATGGACCAGAATGACCCTCTGGTGCGAAGTGCCATCGAGCAGGTCCGCTTCCGGATCTCCAATTCCAGCACAGCGAACAGGCAAGTGGCAGCACACAGGAGTCCACAGCGAAGCTGCCTGGGTCTGTGCCATCATTCCTGAGGCCGTTTTCACAAAAGCCCTTGGCTTATTCCTGTGTGAGATCAGTGAATTCACTGGGTTAGGGTTTGTGGTTCATGACTCCCTCATCCGGCAAGGATTCATTTCTGGGTTTTTTAAGAAGAAAGAAAATCCTCACATCCTTAATTCTATTCTAATTGTGGACAGACCACTCCAAATCACAGGCTCTGTGATGTGTGAAATTCGTTCAATCTCATGATGGGTCAAGACTATTGGCTCGAAAAGCTAGTTGCTTTTCTGAGAGTTCTAATTTGGCCATAGACTGTCCAATGGACTGAGAGAAAACTCAGAGATGGGAGACACTTCTTAGCTGGGTTTAAACTGCAGGTGACCTGCTGGCGAGCAGAGGCCTGGCTCTGGCTTGCAGACGCTGGTTTGTGCGGCTCGCACACACTGGCCGCGTGTACTGTAAATAAGATGCAGTTCATCGCCGATCAGATTCCTGATTTCTGGCATTTGTGAAGGTGTCTGAGGACCTAGTATATGTCAGGCTTCTTTTCTCACAAGGTAGCAGCTGCCCCATAGGAGGGGGTGCACTCTGCAGGTCACCACAGTCCTCTCCTTCCCAGATGTCTAGTGACCTGACACATTTCATTCATCTATGTCGTCTGCCTGACCTCTACGGGCAGTTGAGTTTGAAACCTCAGGATCAAATAGCCTCATCTGATTCATGAGGACAGACCCTGTCCTTTCTCTCCGCCCTTGATTTTCTCAACATAACATTGGTCTTGTACTCGGACTGCAGGGTTAAAGGGCCCCAGCCTCCAGCGCCTCAAGGGGAGGCCGAAGAAGAAAGCCAAGTGAAGGAGGACCGGAGTGGATCAGGAGACTCACAGCCAAATGCTTCCTCTAAACCAGAAAGTGGACGGGTGAAAAAAACTGATGAGAAAATGGGCATAACCCAGCTTAAAAACTATAACCCTGTTGTAGGTAAAAAGCACCTCTTGTGAATGTTCAATTGTGTTTCTTTTCTTTTTCTTTTTGTTGTGTTTCATTTGCTGTCCACACAGTGCCGTTGCGTCAGCCAGCGCTCTACGTTGAAGCCCTGGGCTGCACCCTGAGAACGGGACCTGAGCCGCTCTCGGGTCTGGGGGCCGGTTCCATGCCTCCCACTGACAGCAGTCCCCTGCCTAGAGCAGGACGGGAATGATTCTTGCCCCGTACGCCTCACAAGGCTGTTGCAAGTCTCAGATGCAATTATGCTAGATCCCTACATGAGGAACTATTCACAGAGATTAACTTCTTCTGCTAACTCTCCTTGGGCTGGAATATTCTGTAGATCAGACAGTCTCCACTTCTCCTGACCCCATATAAGCCTTCTATTAGTTACAGCCGTTGGCAAGTTTGAGCATCTGTGCAGTTTTCCCAGTCAGGCCTCTGCCAGAGCTGCCTCCTCCCGCATCCCCCATGGAGCTGCTCTGATGTAAATGTGCAGGGCACGTTCGGTAGCAGGGTTTTCTAATCGAGGGTGTCGCTCCTCTCCTAGTCACAGACGGGTGTTGGTGGGGAGGGCAAGGTGCCTCATCAGGGCACAGGCCTCTATCAGGCAGAAAAATGTGTAGGGGGCATAGCCAACTCAGGGGTCCCAGACAGGAGAGTCAGTTGTGGCCTCTTTTCCCAGAGGTTCCAGTCACACAAGCACAGCCTTCACTCTCGAGGCACAGCCCCATGGTTAGCAAGTCCAGACTGAAGGAAGACAGACGCCAGTGTGCGCGTGTGCAGCCGTGCAGCACAGGCACTCGAGTAGACAAACGGCAGTGAGTGCCGTTCCCCGCTGGGCCAGGCATGGGGGTGCCGAGGGGCCTCTGGTCGCTTGTCCTTACTGCCCTGTTCCTATGTCTCCCTTGACTCGCACTTGTTCTCTCACTGGGGAAGGCCAAGGGAAGGTTTATTTGTATCAACTTTGAAATTATCTACTTTAAAGGAACCTACATTTTGGAATATTTTGCGCCACCCGCATCAAGCCAGGAGTTCTGTGTGGAGGTCTGTCAGGCCCCCCATAGTGGCTCCCCTCTCCATCCCCCTCTGGATCGTCCCCTGTGCTCTCCTCCTTTGCTCTGCCCTGACACTCCACCTCCTGGCCCTTCCCGGAACGCTCGGGCACACACCCACCCCAGGCACCTTGCCTGGGCCTGGGTCGCACAGCCCAGGGTCTCTGCGTGGCCTGCCCAGTCACTGGCTTGAGGATTTCACTCAAGACCTCTCCCCAGCAAGGCCTTTCCTGGCCTCACCTTCCTCTCCCTTCCTTGCTTTATTTTCTGTACCATCTGTTTCCATCTGATGTATTATTTTAGGTATTTTGGTATTATCTTCCCTTTCCCACTAGAAAGTAACTTCCCTAAGAGTAAGACTGTTTGCTGTCTCTCTGGCACCTGAGACATAGGGGCACATAGTAGTTTTTTAATGAATTGAACTGATTTGAATCTGGGACTTTTCAAGCACTCTTTCCTCCTTCCTTCCTTGTCTCAGTTCCTGGACTTGGGCGTTCTCTAGGATTTCTGCCCAAAATGGCTCGCCTGCAGGTGGTCCACATGTTTCTGTGGTACCTGATCTATGGGCATCCTGCTGCCAGCAAGGTAGAGAAACTGGGCCCCATCACTGACAGGAAAACAGGAAAGCAGGAGCCAAGCAAGACCGGAGCCCCGCCCTCCTCCGGAAAAGACCAGGAGGCCTCCTCTGAGGCCCCGCCCAAGGACAGCCAAGATGGTGAGGTCCTGGAGGCGGAAGTGGAGCCTGCCGTAGAGACAGGTGAGATGCCCCAGGGCGGGCAAGCAACAGCGGGGTTCAAAGGGGAATGGTGATGGGTCCTTGTCCTTATCACCTGAACTGGCAGAATACCCACACTGCCCTGATCAAAATAATGACATAATCCAAACTTTCTGAACCTCTGGGCTTCCTGCCTAAGGAGTAGTGTTGTTGAAGTTCATGGTTAAGAGAACCATAACCTACTAGGAGGTGACACCATCATCATGACTTGACCCCATCTCTGATTTTCTCCTAGTGTATGTGGACGAAGCCTTGTGGACGCGCTTTGTCCCTCCCATCCCAGTCCACCGGGACTTTGGCATCGGCTGGGCTCTCGTTAGCGACTGTCTCCTCTGCCTACCCCTCTCCATCTTTGTCCAGATTGTGCAAGTCAGCTACAAGGTATCGGTGACTCCCAAGCAATCATAGGGCCTGGCCTCAACTCCAGGCCGGGAGGCCTGCACTCACCGGTCAGGTGAAAATACTTCAGGACTTGGAGTTGCCTAGATGGGCGGGTGGGTGGGTGGATGGATGGATGAGAGATAGGAGATTGGATAGATGGTTGGTTGGTTGGTAGGTCAAAGACTTGTTCTTCTAGATAGATCAGTCATCAGAAGGACAAATAATTACGATGTAACAATAAAATATGATTTTAAAAATTTGGTAAATACAGAAAAAGGAGATAACAGAAGTTGCCCCTAACTTCATCACTCAGAGCTATCACTGCTAGTGTTCTGAGTACATTTTCTTCTAGCCTTTGTTTCACAGGCTGTGTTTGTGTACACGTGTGTGTCTGTGTGTATGAGGGTTCTCTCTTTTAAAAAACTGAATTGAGATTATACCGTATTTACTCTTTTACCTGTTTTTTTCCACTGAACAATGTATTGCATTTTCTACATCATTAAGTTTTAACTTGGTATTAAGTAAATTCCTTCTTATTCATATACCCTAATTTAATTAACCAATCCTCTATTCTTGGACAATTAAATTCCAGTTTCTTAGTATTACAAATGACATGTGGCAAATACCTTTCAGTACACATATTCATGGGGAGCTCCAAAGTTTTTTAGTAAGGGTAGGAATAGAATCACTGGCTTCGGGGGGAATCAGCATTCTTCGTTTTGTTGTTGTTGTTGTTGTTGTTTTTACTTTAAATAATTTTTTATTTTTAAATTACAGTTGGCCTGCAATATGATGTTAGTTTCAGGTGTACAGCCCAGTGTTTAGGTATTACATAACTTACTAGGTGATCACCCCTATAAATGTAGTACCCATCCATCATCATACATCGTTATTATAATGTTGACTGCATTCCCTATGCTGTACTTTGCATTCCCTTGACTGTTCAGTAACTGTCAATTTGCACTTTTTAATCCCTTCACCTTTTCCACCTGTCTCCCAAGTCCCCCTTCCACCTGGTAACTGTCAAAATGTTCTCTGTATCTGTGAGTCTGTTTCTCTTCTGCTTGTTCACTTACTTTGTTTTTTAGATTCCACATGTAAGTGAAATCATGGCATTTGTCTTCCTCTGACTTATTTCACTGAGCACAATACCCTGTAGGTCCATCTATGTTGTTGCAAAGGGCAAGATTTCATTCTTTTTTATGGCTGAGCATTCCACGGTATGTATGCACCACTTCTTTATCCACTCATCAGTTGACGGACACTTAGGTTGCTCCCTTATCATGGCTGAATAATGCCGCAGTGAGCACAGGAATGTGTATGTCTTTATTTGATTTAGTGTTCTGGATTTCTTCAGATAAATATCCAGAAGTGGAATTGCTGCGTCCTTCTTCATCTCTTGTTATATAGCCTTTGTTTTAAAGTCCATTTTGTCTGGTGTTAGTACTGCTACCCCAGCTTTTTGTCTGTTTCCATTTTCATGAAATACCTTTTTCTATCCCTTTACTCTCTGTCTGTGTGTCATTTGATCTGAAGTGTCTCTTGAAGATAGCAAATGTAAGAGTTTTGTTATTCAGCCTCTGTAAGTCTTTTTTTAGAGAGGGTGGGGAGAGAGTAGAAAGGGATAGAGATATCTGATGTGTGAGAGAAACATCAACAAGTTGCCTCTCGCACACCCCCAACCAGGGACCTGGCCCACAACCCAGGCACATGTCCTAACTAAGAATCGAACTGGCGACCCTTTAGTTTACAGGCCAGCACTCAATCCACTGAGTTACACTATCTAGGGCTCCATATGTCTTTTTCTTGTAGTATTTAATCCATTGGCACTTAAAGTAATTGTTTCTATGTATTAGGTAGAGCTGCTATGTCTCCCAGGCTTGGTAGAGTGGCCTAATGTAGCAGGTGTCCCGAAGTGTCTAGTGGCACAGCCTCCCCCTCAGTCACCCAAGCTGGAGACTTCTCATGTACCCACCACATGTGGGCTGTGTGCCCCCTCTTATTAAAGTTAAGCCTTGTGTACTGTTGGCACCGCAGTAGGAGGGAATTACCCCCAGGCTGATGGCTGCAAGGACTGGCTGCCACCACCATGGAGGATCAGCACTGCAGGAGCTGACCCCACAGAGCAGGACTTTGTTCAGCAGGGCTCTGGTGCCTGCTGAGTCTGCTCCTTGGGGGTGTCACTTGTACAGGTGGTTGGGTGACGCTTGGATGCCGTCTGAACCTGTCCACCAGGTACACTGGCTCTGGGGCCTCCTGGGAGGTGCAGGCCAAGGTCAGCTGCCACTTGTGCTGGGCCTGGAGGTGCCCAGGAGAGGCCAAGCTAAGAACCAAGGTCCACTGCCACTAGTCTCAGATCTGGGGCCACTTAGCAAGAGATACAGAGTATGCTGAAACCAGATGCTACATGTTTAATGGATTTTAGGAAAGTATGAAGCATGAACCAAGAGAGGCCGATCATATGGAAAAGGCACTGGAATCAATTTGGGTGGGCCCACAAGTTGGGTGGGGCGGGGTCTCAGCAAATGACCAGGGCAGTGCAAACAGTGTGAGCCAGGTTGAAGAAGACTCAGATATGGCGCCCTACCTGCCAGCTCTGGGGTGGAGAGCCTCTGCCAGCACTTTTGCCTGGGAGAAAGCTGACCCTACAACTCTTACCCTGATGCCAGATACTTCAGTTTCTTCCTGTGTGTCCTGGTGTCTTTCCAACTACTGCCCTGGCACTGGAGCTCAGAGCAAGTGAGTCCAATTAAGTCTGTGCGTGGGCTCTTGACGAGGAGTGCCCGGGACTCCAGAAGCCCATCCTCTCGCCCGGCCATAATCCCAGCCAGGTTTTACAGTCAGAAGTCATGTGGACTTCTCAGCACCGGAATCCTGGGCTGGGGGCTGATGTGGGGCTGGGACCCCTCCCTCCTCAGGTGAAATACCACAGCTGAAATATCCCTCCCAGTTTTTCTCCACCACGTGTGGGTGTGGAACCAACCCGTTCTGCATCTCCGCCACCCCAGCGTGGCAGCTTTTTTATATCCTTAGTTGTAGGACTTCTGTTCAGCTAGACTTCAGGAGGTTCTGAGTGATGGTTGTTTTATAGTTTACTTGTAATTTTGATGTGGTTGTGGGAGGTCCCAAGTACTGCATTTACCTATACTTCCATCTTTTGTCTTTTTTCAATATAAATGAATCTATGTCCATGTCATCCCCGAGAGGTTTTAGCAGTTCGTGTGCCCAGCAGCAGCATGTGAGGGCACCTGTTGCTTACACCCAGCAGTTTGGTAGATGGGGTGACAAGACTGAAAGCAGAGGTGTGGGAAGTTTGGGGACAGCAGGAAGGAAGGGGGTGCCATCACCATGGGACCGATGGGCAGGTTCTGAGATGCTGCAGCCCAGAAAAGAACAGTGTTTTTTCACAATTCTTGCAATTCACTCTGGTCTTAAGGGTGAACTAAACCTGAAAATCCCCTCACAGGTGGACAACCTTGACGAGTTTCTGAATGACCCCCTGAAGAAGCACACACTGATTCGCTTTCTTCCCAGGCCCATCCGGCAGCAGCTTCTGTACAAGAGGTGAGGGTCCCAGCAAGCTCCATGAAGTTAGGGCTCTGCATAGTCGTTTCCCAGGGAGAGGAAGGGTGTCTGCCGTGCCACTTGTAAAGACTCAAGGTTTTCATTCATTTAGCTACCTGTGAGCCTCCTAGATAAAGCCAGGGTAAATGAAGTGTGGGCTGGTAAATTGTATTACTTCATTTCAAGGTTCTTTTAAAGTAAAATCTGATAAAGACTTCAAGTATAACTAGTATGGTTTTGTCCTTGTTACATTTTTGTTCTGATCCAAACCCCCAGTGGAGAACCGATGCTCCAGTGCCCTTGCTGGCTGCCGGGGGAGGGGTTCTGGGCCTCAGTGCAGCGTGGGCCCGAGGCCTGTCCTCCAGGTCCGCCAGCTGGAAGAGGGGAGGGTAGCGAGGTGCGTGCCTCACCCCAGATGCACGTCTCCCAACCACGGCTGAGAGTGTGGTGTGATTGGGTGCTGCCCGCCCCTATTTTCCAGGCGGTACGTGTTCTCCGTGCTGGAGAGCCTTCAGAGGCTGTGCTACATGGGGCTGCTACAGTTTGGCCCCACAGAAAAGTTTCAGGACAAAGATCAGGTAACATCTTTCAAGCCCAAATGGAGGAGGTCCTGACTGTTATGCAGTGTCCAGACAGCTAACCCGAGGCTAATTCTGAGGTTCTCCCCTCACCCCATCCCTGTCTCCTTGTAGGTCTTCATTTTCTTGAAGAAGAATGCGGCCATCGTTGACACCACCATCTGTGACCCACATTACAACCTCGCCCGCAGCAGCCGGCCCTTCGAAAGGCGTCTTTATGTCCTGGACTCAATGCAGGATGTGGAAAACTATTGGTTTGATCTGCAGTGCGTCTGCCTCAACACCCCTTTAGGTACCATCTCTCTCTGCTGGGCCTCACTGCTTCCCTCCTTTCTGTGGGATAACTGGAGTTGGAGCTAGGAAAGACCTCGCCTCGTTTTCAGGCTGCTCTCCGGGAGCCTGGAGTCGAGTGGTAGGCCTTGAATGGGGAGGGGTCCTAGTCCCCTCACCCCAATTAAGCCCAAGCAACTCCACCTGGTCTTTATGTGCGTGTTCATTCAGCAGGTATTCGAACCCCTTGGTGTGTCACTTCATGTGCCTGACCGTGAGCAATGAGAGCATACCTTATCCCTGCCTTCATGAGACTCTGTTCTCATGGAGAAGACACACACACACACACACACACACACACACACACACACACCACACAGACCCAGGCTGTGAAGAGCGCTGCGGAGCAAATAAACAGGGCGAGGGCACTCAGGGCGATGAGTCGAGGGCATCGGAATGGGTGCTCAGGAGCGGCCTCTCTGAGAAGGAGACAGTTGAGCTGAGTTCTAAAGGCTGAGGCTGAGCTAGCTGTGCACAGAGCTGGGGGAGAGCCTTCCAGGCAGGGGACGGCAAGTGTAGAGGCCCCAAGTGTGGTTGGGGAAGCAGAAGAGGCTGGCATGCATGGGAAGGGGAGTAGCAGCTGAGATGAGGAAGGGGCAGAAGCCAGACTCCAGAGACTTTGCAGGGCACAGTCAGCTGCTGGGTTTGTTCTAAGAGCAGGGAGATCATCTTGGGGGTGTAAGCAAGGAGTAACAAAATCGCTTATGTCTTTTTAAAAGAGGGGTTTTTTTTTGTTTTGTTTTGTTTTTGGAGAGGGGAGAAGGGAAGGAGAAAGGGGGAGAGAAACATCAGTGTGAGAGAAGCATCAGTCACCTCTCGTACACGCTCCAACCAGGGACTAAACCTGCAGCGCAGACGTGTGCCCTGACCAGGAATCAAACCTGCGACCTTTTGGTTTGCAGAACGACATCCAACCAACTGAGCCACACCAGTCAGGGTCGAGATCACTAATGTCTTTCAGAGCTCGCCCTGGAGAACAGGCAGAGGGGCACAAGAATAGGCTCAGAAAGGCCAGTTAGGGGCTGTGACTCGTGTCCAAGAGAGAGTGTGTGTTGACGATAGTGACAGAGGGGACAGACTGGGCGGGAGAACTGCCAGACCTGCCGGTGGGGGCCGGGGGCGAGTGGGGCTTCGGGTGAGGCCTTTGCCTTCATTCACTCCCTCTCCCCAGAAGGTTCCCCAACCCGTGCTCACCCTGCAGGTGGCCACACCTACTCCAAGTGTCTCCTCTTCCAGCGTCTTTGCTGTCATCCTCTTATTTCATTCTATGGATTTCTTGAGCACAGGAAATGTGGCTACTACCCCATGGTGTCTCAGAGTGTCTGTGCCCAGCGGCTCCTACAAATGCTTATCCAGTGAGTGGAGGGTCTGCGATGTTAAAGGGCCTCCAGTCCAACATTCTGTCCTTGAGGCCAGTTTTCATCTGGTCTTTTCTTGCTGCTTCTACCAGGAGAAGAGGGGTGGGCATTCACTTGGAACCCAGGAGAGGACCCTGGCCCTCCTCCTCCTGTCACAGAGCTGCAAGGTCAGCATTGCACGTTGATTTTCGAGCAGCAAGGCTCACGCACTGTTCGGTAGAACTGCTCGGTGCCAGCAGGGTAGCAAGCACCGGGTACTTAGAGCCTTCAATGGGTCCAGGCAGTTTAAGACGTTACGTTTCACAGACTCCTCTGGCATTCATTAGCAAAGAAGGCTTTTACCATTAAAGATTTTTAAAGTTCTCTAATTCCTCTGCATTTTATACCTAGATAATAATTTCTGAGCCAGTATGTTACTTGCATCAAAGCTTTTCAGACTTGACAGTTAGTGAATCCATCCATCTCTTTTAGTGTTCACGAGCAGAAATGTGGAAGACTTATTGAATCCATTAATCAGGCCTTGATCGTCTCTTCATTTAGCAAACATGGGAGGGGTTCCGCCCCGAGGACTGAGGGAAGAGTACCGGATAAGAAGGCATAGGCGTCCTGTAGAGTGGGGGCTCCGGCACACCCGAGTGTGCGGGCAGCCCCTGGGGCCTCTGAAACACAAACCGCAGGTCCCAGGCAGCACCCCGGACTCAGCAGACCTGGGCTGGCCTGAACCTGCATTTCTCATGAGCAGCATGTGATGCACATGGGAAGCACGGCATGAAGTCTCCCTGGGGTCAGCCGTCTGTTCAAACACATGGCTGTGGACAAGCTCTTTGTAACCTCCAACCTTAGAACAGTGTGTTTCATAGTGTCTTTCTTTCTAAACTGGGAACACCACCACCGCCTTGTGGGCTGAGGCGAAGCTTGACTCAGAAGGCTCTGTAAAGTGGGCCGAGAGGTGGGGGTCGTGGCCTCTCCCCACCGCCCCTCCCCCACCCAGGCCCAGGTCTCTAGAAGAGCATGTTATGAGAGGGTCCTTAACAGTGCAAATTATCATAACCTTCCTTTCCTTACAAGAAATGCAATTTTCTTTATTGGGCAATAACTAAACGTGATTGCTCCATTAAATGAATGCACCTCTTGGGCACTCAGGAAACATCTGGCTGCTCAGAGGGAAACTGTGGTGCTGCATCCTCCTGCCTGTCCAGGTCCTTGCTGACCCGGACCCCTGCAGCCACAGCCAAGTGCAGTCCTTTTCATCTCCTGCTTCCCCTGTGCTGGTGCACAGCAAGTCCTCGGGGCTCCTCCCACCCCCACGCCCCCAGGAAGAAGGCACGGGGTTTCTCTGCTCATGACTCCCCTGGCCTCCTGGGCTCTTCGTTGCCTGCTGGCCACCCGCATTAATAGTGTCCACCCTGAGTACACACCCTTTCCTCAGTTCACCCGTCACTGTTTAACTCTTCCTTTTGCTCTCTCTGATACCTTTTAATTACAAGGCGTTTTGTGCAGAAAGGTTCTACTAGTTTGAGACCCTCCTCTGGTTGGGGCCCCCACACAGAAAGGGAATTCACTCTTCCCTGGCCACCCAGCAACACATGGTGGCTCCCCAGGACCACAGCAGGACTCCTTGGTTTTCCAGGTGTGGTGCGCAACCCGCGCGTCAGGAAGAGCGGCAGCCCAGACCAGGGCAGCGATGACAAGGGCAGTCTGCAGAAGGAGCAGGAGAGTGCCATTCACAAGCACAATCTGGAGCGCAAGTGTGCCATGATGGAGTACACCACGTGCGTCCCCACCCCACCTGCAGGGTGCAGCGATGCTCCCCCCGTAGGGTCCAGCTCCTCTGTGTCGGGCTTCAGGTGGCAGGCCAGGAGTGCTGGCATCCCCAAGCCTGCAAACTGGTGGCCACCAGCCACGTCTGGTCCCAGCCAAACCTTGCCTTTTTTCAAAACGTTTTAAAAAAAAATAGTTATCAAAGTTCAAAAACTGGGAGTTTTACATAAAAATCTGAGGTTTAGTCAAGTTCTTCACTTCTGTCAACTATTTTTCTTGGAAGGTAGAAGTTGTGGAAAATAACCACCCCCACACCAGGGGCTATCGCTTCAGCTCCGAGGAGAGCTCGTGTTCTGTTTACTTCCTGTCTCTCAGGGGCAGCCGCGAGGTCGTGGACGAGGGCTTGATCCCTGGAGACGGTCTGGGAGCCGCTGGGCTTGATTCCAGTTTCTATGGACACCTAAAGCGCAACTGGATCTGGACCAGCTATATCATCAACAAGGCCAAGAAGGTGAGCTTTTGAGGTGTGGATGCCCATACCCCAGCCCCCACCCCAGGGGCCACCATCACCACATCCTCCTGTCCCTTTCCCAGCTCACAGTTTCTGAGTTGGTAAAATCAAAAGCGACCAGAGACACAAATATTTATTTCCATATGTATCAGAGGCCCATCAGGCCCCTTAAACACCTGCCTTGCTTGTTTTTGTTTTTTTCTCAACTGATTCTAATTTAATCTGTGACGTGGACAAGTATTCCTTTATAAAGAAGAAAAGGAAGCCTGTGAGACAATCATGTGCAATAAGGGAGTGGCTGGGCAGGAGACCCTGCCCCCACTGGCCTCTTGGTGGTCACTGCCTGGCCACCCTGGGCCTCTCTGCCGGACACTCACACCCCCGGTGTGCCTGCAGTGCTGGGCTCCTGGGGGTTTGTGAAACCAAATGCTTCATTCCCATGACACGCCTGTCTTTTAGGAGAACACTGCTTCAGAGAACGGGCTCACAGTGAGGCTGCAGCCTTTTCTGTCCAAGCGCTCGCTGCCCCTCGGTGCTGGAGGTACGTGTGCTGGGGACACACCCCTCAGGGCCAGCACAGCTGCGCGCGTTTGTTTGGCTCGGCTCGTGGCCTCTGCGGAGCTCATCTCGAAATGCTTGTCTCCTGTGGTCCTTTGCAGACAGTGGCAGACTGAGCATCTGGGGAGAAGCTAGAGTGGGATCCGAGCTCCGTGTTGACAGGGGCGAGCAGTTTGAGGTTGACCAGGAGCCCATGCTGGACAGGAACCAGAGGGTGAGAGGTGGGAAGAGCCAGAAGCGGAAACGGCTGAAGAAGGACCCTGGAAAGAAGATCAAAAGAAAGAAAAAAGGTTATGATCATTTGCGTTTGCTAGGCCCTGTCTTTGCACGTTCTGGCTCAGAGACGCATAACAGTCTCACCGCAGCCGGGCCCGAGCACCTGATGTCGAGTGCTGGCCCTGTGGGATGGCCGAACTTCCCCAATCCAGGGGGCAGACAGAGGCCCTTGAATTTCCTGTAGGCTGCCCCCTGCTTTCTCTGTATTTTTTAGAGGTTATATCTATTTATCTTCTAGAGAGAGGGGAAGGGAGGGAGAAAGAAGGAGAGAAACATCAATGTGTGGCTGCCCCCCATGTGGCCCCGACCAGGGACCAGGCCCACAACCCAGGCATGTGCCCCAACGGGGAACCAAACCGGCAACCCCCTGGTTCACAGCCCACGCTCAATCCACTGAGCTACACCAGCCATTCTCTGTATTTTTTTAGAGCCTCTTCACTCATTAGCTGCCTCAGTAAAATTTCTAATTGCATCTCAACTGAAAAAAACCTTATCAAAAATTCTTAGCAAAATCCTCAATCATAACCAGCCCAAATCCTATTATTCTTTTGGTTTACCTTTTAATATCTACATTTGTGCTAATCAGGCCAGAGTTGAAGGTTTGTTATGTATTTAGATTAGAGCAGGGGTGTCAAACTCATTTTCACCCAGGGGCCACATCAGCCTCGAGGTTGCCTTCGAAGGGCCGAATGTAATTTTAGGGCTGTGTAAATGCAACTACTTAACTAGGGGCAAGGAGCTCGGCGCTGCTGCCGTGTAGAAACAAGGTGGAGGGTCAGATTTGGCCCTCAGGTCTTGTGTTTGCCACCTGTGGATTAGAGGAAAGACAGGATCATTTAAGCCTCAGATCTCATGAAGCTCCCAGGTTTGGTATGTTTCAGGTGGCCGTTTTGGATTCTTCCTCTGGACAGTATTACAGTGAAGGAGGGCAGCAGGAAGAGTGGTGTGTCTGTTTTTCAGACCACTTTTTATTTTACTAAAGTGGTCTATGTATTTTAACAGTGACCTGATAGCTAGCTATTTCAGATGAAAACAACAGTCAGCTGCAGCTTGAGCTCCACCAGCAGCTCAGTGACATCAAACGCCTAACTGAACAAAAGGTGTTCCAGACTCTCAACAGTAATCTACAATGGCTGAACCCTAAAAACTGGTTTGATGGACTGAATTTACAAGTTTGGGTTATGGCAGCCCTTGGGTGCATCCTTGTTTTAATTCTTATTTGTGCTTTGCGATGTATATGAAAGTTGTTTTCTTGGGATCGCATTCAAAAACAGCAAATAGTAGGTTTCACAAGCTTAACAACCACAAATGATTTTAAAAACAAAAAAAGGGGGAGATGTTGGGAACCGCCCTGCCTGGTATCAGAAGCTGTAACCCCCGCCAAGGCTCAGGCTGAGGGAATGACCTTGGACCATAAGCCAGCAAGGAGACAAAAGCTTATCTTCCTGGCAGGAGCGCTGCTTCTGCTCCTTTTACTTCACCACCCTACCTGGCCCCCAATGCTTGGTCGGTTAGCCAATGACGGGTAAGGTTCCCCAAAGGGGGAACTACCTAAGACAGGCACGATCACATGGGAGGCCCCCAAGGAAGGACTTTGGGGGCTACAGCAAAAGGGGGTGATGAACCCTCGCCCCTTGGCTTTGACAAAAGCCTGAGTCCTCATCGTCTGGGAGAAAATCTCCTAATCTCTTGGCTGCCTTACTTCCTTGCTCCACCTAAGCCTGAAACAATGACAGAGGGTGGTGCAGCCCTGTGCTGGAAAGGGCGGGTTCCCCGGGTGATCAGGCCTAAGAAAGAATATGTAAAATCCTGTGAAACCTGCTTTGTTTAGAATGCTCTCAACTGAATGATAAGGGTCCAAGGAAAAAGTAAGTTTGTTCCTCAAAGTTTTACAGCTCTTTAGCTATCTGACCCTCATTCAAAATAGACCCTCAGAGTTCCTTGTTATCTATTGTTTGATCCTTACTTCCTGGCAATGATTAATGAGCTTTACCTGAATTCTTATGCAAACGAACCCAATAAAAGCCTGCTCGGGTGGGAGAACAGGGCGTTCTCCCCTACGGAGGGCGGTTGAGGAGCTCCCCACTAGAGAGAGTGGCTGTTCCGTTCCTATTTCCCCACAGGACCTGGTTGTTTCTGTGTATGTTTTTCTTGTGTTTCAACGAGCCATCCGCAGCATTCCGAGGTCACTGCCAGTTGGTGGCCACACCAGAAACCTGTTTTGAGTGGTTTATTTGGCCAGTATTTATAACAAACAGCCTTGTGTCCATTGCCTATCATTTTGGCTCACAAAGACCTGAATTCTTTACAAGGCAAAATACAGTTGTGGTGTCTCTTTGAATCCAAATTGTCCTGCCCTGTTTTTCTTCTGCCTTAATTTGGAAGATCACTAACAGTCTTTTAGAACTGGCAGTGGCATATGGTGTCTACCTTATGAAACTGCTGTCAGTCTCCCCGCCACCCAGGGAAGGAGACCTTGAAAAACCTAGTGGTTACAAGCTCAAGTTCAAGTCCTTGGTCTGCTACTTAGTTGTGTGACTTTGGACAAGTTGCTGTATCATGCTGTGTTTTAGACCCTGCAATTACAAAAACAGGGGTAATAACTACATCTTTCTTATAGGGTTGTTGCAAAGGATTGTTTTAATTAATGTTGACATATATAAAAGGCTTAAAACAGTGTTTGGCACATAATAAATAATTCCATAATGTTAGTGACTATTATTTTTCACTTAGTAGCTGCCGTGTGCCAAGCGCTGCACTAGATGTTTCAGTCTCGTTCAACCTTCAAGGCAGCCCCACCGATGGGCCTTGTTCCCGAGGTGCACCAGAGTTCCCACGACATCTCTGAGGTTGCAGAGCAGCAGACTGGGGCGGGGGGAGGGGGCACCCCTTGGGCAAACGTGCCCTGAGCCTGCTCCACAAGCCCCTGTGAAGGTTCCTGGAAAGGGCATAGCACCACAGTAGGAAAAGTGGAGAGTGGCGGGTAACTAACAGGAGACTGCATTCAGGCTGCCCAGTCCCTCAAGGTGAAATTCACCGAAGGGAAATGATGGCGGCCATGGAAAAATTGCCAGGAAGGGCTGAGTCTTTTGTGGCTAGTTGTATAGCTTCTGGACACAAGGGGATTCTGGTAACTGGTACCCTTGGTCAAGTTTTGCTAGCTGGGCAGGGACCTCCCCTTCTCCAGAGTGCCAGCTGCAAACCAGGTGCTGGAGGCGCCCTCCCTTCTCCCCTCGGTGTTCTTAGAAGAGCCCCAGGAAGAAAAAAGCAAAAGCGTGCGTTACCACGACGAGGCGGACCAGAGCGCCCTGCAGAGGATGACCCGGCTGCGCGTCACCTGGTCCATGCGGGAAGACGGGCTGCTCATGCTCTGCCGAATCGCCAGCAACATCCTCAATGCCAAGGTACTCGGCCCACCGGTCCCCTGCTCCTTCCAGCTGATTTGCTTGCCCCTCTCTCAGGGAGCTCTTTCCAGTACAACCCCCACGGGAGGCTTGTGGCCTCTCTCATCTCATCTACTGTGGCCCCTGGGGAAAGTATTTCCCAGAATCTTACATATTAATACCACTCCAGTGTTTGCGCATTTCTTTCCAGCCTTCAGCCCATGCTTACAACTCTTTGCCTGGCTGCAGGCAAAGCAGACCAAAGCCGTTCTGTCTTCACCTTTCCTGTTCCACTGCTCCCACCCTCACATGCTTAAAAAATTCTGGTTTCTCCTTCAGTAGCTGCTTATCACCTCTAAAAAGACTTCATTGGTCCTGTCAAGTGGAAGTAATCACTGTGTTCTCCCTCTGTCCCTCGGACAGATACTTTTCATGCTGCTTCTGTTGCCTCTGGCACCTCTTGGCCCACTGGAGTGGCGCTCCTCAAGGCAGAGAGACTGGTTTTCCTTGCCGTAACCCCCAGCATGGTGCCTACCACGCCGTAACCATCCAGTCGGTATTTACGGAGCAGTGTGGAATGGTGCAGTGGCCGAGGCCTAACTCTCCCCCTTCCTCATGGTTCACTCTTCCACCTGCCACACCACAGTCCCTCACACTCGTATGTCCTGTGGGCCTGTGTCCCTGGATCCCTGGTGGGTGGAGAGGGCCTTGCTCCCTGTTTAGCAGACTCCCTTTATCTTCTGATATCACTGCCTCTAAGAAGGTTCTGCAGCCTGAACCAGAGTTCATCTCCTCACCATGTTCCCCAAAGCAGCCTCGCTGACTCGTGGTCTGTTTGTTCTCGCCGCTTGTGCTGGTCTCATCTCCGCTGCGTGTGGCACGGCAGGGGGGTGGCCCAGGTGGGCGAATGTCTCCTCCGGGTGGTTCACAGAAGCCAGCAGAAGAGCGAGCTTCCCCATCATCCAATCCAGAGACTTTTGCAGGTAGTAATACTTCTAGGCAGATAGGTTAGGCAGCTGCTCGAGGGCCCCTTTGGTGTTTCCTGTTCTCAGCAGCGGCAGCCAAGAGAAGTCCACTTAGATGTCCTGTGCCAGGATGCTCTTTGCCAAAGGCTCTTTAGATCCCTTTTCTCGACCATCTTCCCAGATTCTCTCACCCTTCAGCCCCTCCTAAATTCCAACCCAGTCCCTTCTCCAAGGAAGCACCTAGGGGGACTGCTGCTGTCCCCAGTGTGTGTTCTCTGCCTCTATAATGGGTGTTTTATCAAGGGGGGTCAGGGTATGTCCCCCACCCACCCTGGATGCAGCTGGAGGAGACAGGAGAGTCCTGCATGTTCAGGGCAGCACACCCTCCACTCGCTCACTTGGACTAACACCGTGTTCTGGGGCCACCTCATTCTGGGGCCATAAGAAAATTCATCATTCCGCCCCTTCCTTGTCTCAGCTCTGCCTTCCCGTGTGTGACTGAAGTGTTCCCCTGAGTCTACTGACTTAGCACATTCTCTCTTTCTTTTTTAATAGACTTGCTCTTCTTTAACAATTTTATTTATTTATATTTTAGAGAGAGGGGGAGGGAGGGAGAAAGAGAAGGAGAGAAACATCAGTGTATGGTTGCCTCTTGTGCACCCCCTACTGGGGACCTGGCCTGCGACCCAGATATGTGCCCTGACTTGGAATCCAACCAGTGACACTTTGGTTCACAGGCCGGCACTCAGGCCACTGAGCTGCACCAGCCCAGGGAATTAGCACATTCTTTTTCTGCTAATGGAACATACAGAATGTTTCTGATCACACATAATCCATAATTAAGCCTGTAAAGGCCTCTAACTGAACACATCGTATATATTCTTAACCTCCCCTAACATGTTGTCCTTCTAGTCAGTACTAGCCAGCACCCTCTGAGCACCTCTTGTGTTTGTCAGAAGACACTTTTTCCGCCGGACTCTGAGGACTGACTTTATTCCGCTCTGCCCAGCACCTCACCCTGTGCCAGGCATGTCATTGGTGCCGAGTGGATGTGACTGAGCAAACATCAGGGGGCAGTGCGGAGCATCCCCTGAGGAGGGAGGCTCCACAGAACGGATTTTCCCGCTCCCCTGGGTCCGCGGCCCAGGCATGGACTCCGAGGATGCTGACTCCCTGTCCCGACTCTGTGTTCCATCCAGGTGAATGGCCCGTTTGTCCACTGGCAAGTCGTGAGGGACATTTTGCACGCTACCTTTGAAGAGTCTTTGGATAAAACATCTCATTCGGTTGGACGAAGAGCTCGCTTCATAGTCAAAAACCCACAAGCCTATTTGAACTATAAGTAAGCCTTATTTGAACTTTCATATCCAGGATGAGTTTATTCCAGTGTTTCTAGATCATTCTTTCCTCTCCTCTCATCCCATTTGCTTAAGGGTCCAGTGTAAAATCCTGGTAGAACATGCCGAGTTGGCCAGTGCTCAGTCCAAGTGCCAGTGTCCACTGGTGAGCTTGTCCTTGATATATTGAGGGCCGGGCCTGATTTTGGCACTTTCTCACGCCAAGTGTTATCTAGATGTTAGGGAAACCTTGTGAAGCAGGTGCTGCTACCTTTTGTTACACATGGAGAACTGGAGGCCAAACAGGCCAGGTGACTTACTGAATGTCACGCAGTTAGCACGTGGTGAAGGCAGAGGCATGTGCCGACCCTCACTGCTGATTTTAGCCTTCCAGAGCAGCGCTTCCGTCTCAGTGTTAATGGCCTGAGAACAAGCCAGACATGGGCCATTGGACCAGGGGCACTCAGCCATGTCCTGAGCACAGCTGGGGTTCCTGAGAGTTTCCCCGCCAGGGCCTGGTCGTGTGGAGACGGTGGCTGACTGGGTCACAAGGCATGTCCCTTGTGATTTGTCTTTTGCCAATGTGGCTGCCCCTTCCCCCTAATCTTCTCACAGGGCCCGGTGGGGAAGCCATCGCCATCCTCGTCAGACTCCTCTTCCAGCTCCTCCACAGGCATGGGTTCGAGTGGGGGCACCAGAGAGCCTCTGAGTTTGCGGGAGGCACCCACGTGTAACAGCCAGTAGCAGAGTGTGGCCGGGAGCGGAAACACGGCAGGGCTGGGAAATACCGCCTCCGCCGGCTGGTCGCTCATGTGATGAGCTTGTCTCTGGACTGGTTCTCAGCAGTGGGCTGCTTGCAGCAGCCAGATGAGAGAAACAGGCCCAGCCCTGAACTCTGGGCATTCGGGGCCAGATAACTCTTTGCTATGAGGTTGTCCTCGGCACTGTAGGGTGCTGAGCCGCATCCCTGCCTCCGCCCACTAGATGCCAGTAGCCCCTCCGCCATGTGACACCAAAGTGTCTCCAGATGTTCCCTGTGGGGCTGAACTGCCCTGGTTGCGAACCACAGGGTTACACATACCAAGGGGCTTTCCCATGTGACGCCACTGTCTCCTGTGCATAGATATTAAACCTTTCTGTCTCAGAGGGTTCTGATGACCTGGCCCAACCCCTTCTTTTGTCAAAGTAGATAGTGACAGTCAGTTGGCAGTGCAGTGAGACCTGCAACTTGCCCCCCCGCAGCCCAGGGAGGTGGAGTATGAGGGCCTGCAGGGGTGGTGGCCAGGCCTCCCACCTGCACTGCAGCTCAGGGCAGCGAGGCCGAGGATGGGGTGCCCATCCATTCAGAGGCCGCTTCCTCACCCTCAAACAGGATAATGACACCAAAAATAACCACGTCTGCCCCACCGGCCCTGGCCGTTGGCATGTGTGTGACCCCAGGGGCCCCTTCGCCTCACCGAGCTATACAGCGGAATGACAGTCTCTATCCTGCAAGCTCTTTGTGAAGGTTGAAGTGCTTGGCCCATAGGAAGCCAGAGAGCTCTGATTGGCTCTCCCTCCAGGTCCTTTTGGGCAAGTCAGGCTCTCTACATCCTGGAGGAGTGGACAAATAGTGCTGTGGGGACAGTTAGAGCTCTTAACAATAATAAGTGCCCACACCTCTACAAGTTTTTAAGTTCACAATACACTTTCGTACAAGTTGTTTCATTTGGTCTTGGCCAAGTCCCATGAGGGCAGTTGGGGGTTACTGGTCTCTGCCTGCACGTGCGGGACGGGAGGTCGGCGAAGCCAGGGTGGACGGTGTGAGCGGTAACGGGCCTGGCTGAATCAGTTTGGCTCAGCCCACATCCTTCACTTTTAAAAGCCATAGTCACACAATAGTCAGGTGAGTAAATCCCACTTTATGGTTAGACAAAGCCAGAGATGACAGGCCAGAGCCTTCTGGTGGTTCTGAGTGCGGGCGTAGTTCCAACTCCCGGCCTCTCTGACCTCCACAGGGTGTGCCTGGCCGAGGTGTACCAAGACAAGGCCCTCGTCAGCGATTTCATGAGTCGGAAGTGTGACTACGAAGACCCAAAGGTAGGCCTGGCTCGCTGACTGGGCTCAGCCTGCTCTGAGGGCAGCGGTGTCTCTCTAGGTCCTGGTGCAGACCTCCGGGTCTCACAGTGCCTCTGCCAGCCTTACGAACATGGGGCTTCTTCATGCTCATTTGAGAAAATGACTTGGCAGTTCTTTGGCTTCGAACTTCATCTGATCTGGCTCCAGCGTTAGTGTGTAAAGATGATCAGCATTCGACGTGCACCTTCGCGGGGCTGCTGGGCCTGGGGCCTGCTTGTTAAGGAAATAAGGCAGCTCTTCAAGAGGGCGGATGACATGAAGTTATAAGCAGCTAGGCTGCCTAGAAAGCTTGCAGACAGGAGATGGGATTCTTTCCGAGTGGCCTGTCCAGTGGGGCTGGAACAGTGGCCGGCGGGAAAGGAAGCATCTTTGCAGACCCAGATGTCTGTGCGTGCCGGGCCTCAGGCCAGGCGAGGCTAACCAAATGGAGACCCAGCCCTCCCCTCGGGGAGCCACGGGGCAGCAGGACGCGCAGAGGGGTAAATGGGCTGCGCGGACCGGTGCAGTCACCCTGAGAGAGGAAAGCACAGGCCTGCAGGAGCACCAGGGTTGCATGCCACGCAAGTGGCAGAAAGGCAGCCTCACAGGGGCTTGAGGCTTTGTTTTCCCTAATGCGCAGCAGGCTGCAGGTAGGCAGTCGTGGGCGTGAGCAGTAAAGCAGAGACGCCATCAGGACCCAGGTTTGTTCTGTCACTGCTCTCTGGTCCCTAGCAGCCTGCTGTCCCTCCTCATGCCAGTCACCTCCTGGTTGCTGATTGACTGCTGGGGTGCAGGTCTACACAACGGACCCGACGACAGAAGACATGGGGAAAGGGGGTGCCCTGGGGTCACTGGGCCCTCATGTCAGGGAGGGGGCAGCCTTTCACAGAAGCCCCTGGGATTGTCGTCATTAGCCTAGCCCCATCCTGACTCATCCAGATGGGCTGAGTGCACATGCTCCCCAAACCACGTCAGAGTGGGCTCCACTCCTGAGCAAGATGGGGATAGAGAAAGTGGGCGACCAACAGCGCCCACTACAGAGGGGTTCAGTGCAGCCACTAAACCCAGACTCTAAAGATGAGCCAGCTGAGGCAAAGGCCGTGAAGGAAGAGGGAGCGAGGTGGCCTGTGCGCATAGTGTTGGGAGGGCCGTGGCCAGATGCAGCAGCGAAGGAGTGAGCTCACCCCGTGTTGGACGCGCCGTCCGTGTGCTGGCCACACTGCGGAGGGGAGACTGGAGGTGGCAGGGCAGTGAGGAGGCCACGTGGTGTTCTGGTCTGGAATGGGGTGGTCTCGGTGCAGGTGTGCAGGAGGGGACGGGTTTGGGGTCCGAGGTTGAGCGGCAGGGGGCAGGTTGGAGGAGATGAAGGAGGTGGGCTCACACAGCGTGAGCCAGGGAAGAACCTGGGAGTGGGGAGGTGACGGGAGTGCAGGCCTGCTGGCGGGGCTGGGGTACAGTGGGCGTTCCGGGGCCTGGGCAGGACAGTTTGGGTCTTCCTGGGGCTGGAAGAGAGAGGCGGTGGTGTGGTTGTGAGGGCTCGGCTGTTTGTTGGTACCAGGTGTGCCAAATCCTCGAGCATCTGTCTGCTTCCCGGGTGGACTCGGTGGGCTGAGGAGGCCAGAGGGCCGAGGAGCGGCACTGTGCTTCTGGGAGGTGGCTGCCATGAGAGTTTGTCACGAGATTTTCCTTGACATATCTTGTTGAAACCTCCCTTCAGGGAGAGAAAAGGCTTAACATATTCTCTCATATTGAAAGGTTTGTGCCAGCGAGTTTAAAGAATTCGTGGAGAAGCTTAAAGAGAAGTTTAGTTCATCCCTAAAGAATCCTAACCTTGAAATCCCAGACACAATCCAGGAGCTCTTTGCCAGGTAAGGTCCTTCCAGGAAGGTTCTGTGTGATCTTCGTGGGGCATGAGAAGATGTCACTGGCGGGGACTGCCACAGGCCAATAGTCCCACTCAGCTGTGCAGCTGCCCCTGCTGTCCCTCCCGCCGCTGGGCCGCCTGGCCTCTCCCAGTGACTTGGAATGGGGAGGCCCTGCCTTCCAGAGCCCCCAGGCACTCTCACTCGCCCTCCCCTGCAGGCCTTGCCACTGACTTAACTCCGCCCCTCTCGGGTGGCTGGTGCGCTTTTGCTGAGATTGCTCATTTTCCACAGGAGGCAACTCTGAGATGTAGCTAACTTGCCCAGGGTCACAGTGCTTGTGAGCAACAGGGCCAAGATTGGAGCCCTGCAGTTTCCAACTCAACCTCTCAGCCTCTGGAGAAAGACACACTTCGGTTTGAACACAGGACCCTGTAGAGATTTTAAAATCTCGTGTTCTGTGAACCAGGCCATTGCCTCTGCTTAATCCCAGTGTGAATCCCCTCTCTCCACCATCCTCAAGACAGTCTCTCTGGCTCCTGGACTTCTGAATGACCCTAAGGAGACGGCATTTATCAGTTAGTTTCTGCGTGTGCATTTATAATACCTTTGCACTTAGCCGTCCATGTTTCTGTTAGAAACCTCATCTTTCCATTTGTTCAACAAATAATTTGTATAGCACCTGCCATGTGCCAGGCCTAAGGAGTGATTCGTAGTCGTTTTCAGGGTTGACGCCCTTTAGCTATTTGGGGAGTTTTGGTTTTATTAATGGCAGTAAAATGTTCCCCAGATTACCCAATGGCACAGTTTATATTTCACATGCCCTGTTCACCTGCATGTAATTTGTATAGCCATGGATTTTCAGTGAAGTTCTGGGGCAACTTTTAGTTTTAAAAGAAGATAGTTAAAGAATTTAAAGGAGTGAACCATTTAGAGGAAAGAAAAAGTTTCCGTTGTAACAGTTTAATTCTAAATTTATTCTTTAGCATTCTGGCAGGCAAGGCAAAAACAAAAATGGTTCCAAATATTTTCTTGTTTGACTAAAAATAGTTGACTTGTTTTTCTGTAAAGATGCTTTTTCTTGTTACTATATTTTAGGAAACATTTACTATGGCAAAGACGAATTTTGACTTCAGTTTTGCAGAAACCAATGAAATGGCCTACAAATGGCAATAGTTTTTGGAAAGTCAGTTCTGTGATTCTTGTGTTTATTTGCTTGGTATGAACACAATAAATCAACTTTACATGAAGCTTTTTAAAAAAAGGAGCAATAATTTGTAATTCCAACACCTAATATAGGCATTCCTCTTTTGGGTATTTCTTCCAGTCTTTCTTGTGCTCATTTTTAATCATAATAAGCCTGCAATTAATAGTAGCTACCTGCCTATTACCATTTTCCCATCTCATTTCATAATTGTCAGTAAATGATTGTTCCCTGTTTTCTCAGTCCTTGACTTTTTTTTTTAATTCTTACCGAAGGACATTTTTTCATTGCTTTTAGAGAGAGGGGAAGGGCTAGAGAGAAACATTGATGCAAGAGAAGCATCAGCCAGTTGCTTCCTGCATGCGCCTGAGCAGGGGATTGTATGTGCCTAGACCAAGGATTGAATCTGCAACCTAGGCGTGTGCCCTGACTGGGAACCGAACCCTCAACTTTTTGGTTAGGGGACAACACTCGAACCAAATGAACTACACTGGCCAGGGCTCAACCCTCATTTTTTAACATTCTTATTTGATGAACAGAAGACAGTATATTTTCATTTTAGTTTATTGGGTTGGCCAAAAAGTCCATGTAGTTTTTTTCCATAAAATAAAAGACACATTTTTCATTTTCACTAATAACCTTATTAATTTGGATATTGAAGTATGCTAGCTATCTGCCACGTGGTATAACACTGATTGTTCTCAATTAACTTCTCGATTTGATCGCTGTCAACTTCAACTGGTCTTCCTGACCGTGGAGCATCGTCCAGTGAAAAATCTCCAGCATGAAACTTTGCAAACCACTTTTGACGTGTTTGATCAGTCACAGCACCTTCTCCATATACTGTACAAATCCTTCTTTGTATTTGAGTTTTTACCTTTCTTGAAGTAATAGAGCCTAATATGCCAAAAATGTTGTATATTTTCTTCCATCTTCAATGTTAAAATGGCTGCACAAAAACTCACTAATTTTGATGTTTTAAATGCACACTGATATGACAGCTGTCACAATACAATCTAACAAAATTGTTTCAAATGAAGTTAAAGACAACTAAGCACTACTAGGGCCATCTTATGGAAAAAAAACAAATGAACTTTTTAGCCAACCCAGTATATGTACATGTTTGAATTTTGGCAAATATAACATTTTTGAAAGATGGTTCAGCCAGTAAATGGCCATCATGAGCGTGCTGCAGCCTCGGTCCATGAAGGTGTGCTGTGCTGCACAGACACGCTTTCTTCTTGTTTCTTACGCAGATACCGAGTCCTGGCTATTGGAGACAAAAAATACCAAATCGGGAAGGAGGACGAACTTAATAGGCAAGTACTGACACACCAAATTCCATTTCCTCAGCTGCTTGATTGGGGTGACTGCAACCTAGGACAGGGGTCGTCTGGAGCAGATGCAGCCGGCTGCCTGTTTCTGTCGGTGAAGTTCTGTTGGAACACAGCCGGGCCCGTTCCGTGTCTTGTCTGTGCTGCTTTCATCGGCACATCAGAGTGGAGTGGTTGCATCGAGTCTAGATAACCTGCGAAGACTAACTTGCTCCTCTGGCCCTTTACAGGAGAGGTTCACTGACCCCTGACCTCCCACATCACTGGCCTGGCCTCGGGATGGGCTGGGGAAGGGTCTGAGCTCTCGGCCCGTTAGCTTTCTGAGCAAAAGTGGGTAGAAAGCTCAGCTTTTCCCCCCATCTTGGAGAACCAATATTCAGTTTGATTTTAGCTCTATATTTCAGTGAGAAGCCCATTCTCTTTGGAGAAACCTTGTTTAAATTGGATGAAAACAAAATATAAGCACTCAACCACATTTGCTAATTGTCGTGGAAACGTTTCCAGGTTATGTCACCCCCTACCCCCAGGCTTTCCCTGTAAAAAGGGGCCAGTTCGTGGGGTTTAGAAACCATCGTGTATTTTGTCTTGGTTTATAGTTTGGGTACTCAGGTCATTTCTGTGGGATTGAAAATTTGTCGTTAATGAGAGCCGGGTCTGCCCGGGGTGCACGGTGCACGCGGCCTTGTGTCACCCGCCCCCCTCTTTCAGCATGGACGACATCCACTTTCTGGTGCTCCAGAACCTGATCCAGAGCACACTGGCCCTCTCGGACAGCCAGATGAAGTCCTGCCAGTCCTTCCAGGTGGGTGTCAGAGGCCCAGCCCCCGCTTTGCAGCCGTGCCCTGGGACTGCGGTCCCCTCAGGGGCCAGTGCGGCGTGAGGTTTTGCCCTTTCTCTTCTCAGCTGTGGGACTCAGGGGCCCTGAGTTTCCCTAAGACGCTGGCCCTCACTCAGTCCATCCTCATAGTGCAGGCGCAAGGCCCACTGAGCTCCACAGTCCCAGGGCTTTGATGGGAGGCGGACTTGTAGGAGGCAAGCTGGATGGGCAGGTCCCACTCACGGGCGTCCTTGTCCATCCTGGTGAGGGTGGGTGTTCTCCCTGCCGGGGAGCGCCACTGGGGTGTGAGGCGGGGAAGGAACACTGTCTGATACAGGCATCGGAGGGTGACTGCCGTGGGGAATGGTCAGGGTGGAGGGGGTGGCATGTGTGGAAGCAGGGAGAGCCGTTGGCTAGAGGCTGCAGCGGGAAACGGTGGTGAACCAGTTGGTGGTGGTGTAGACAGCGTGAACTGGGTGCATTTGGGAACATGTCTGGGGCAGCACCTACCAGACATACGATGTGTTGGGTGAGGAGAAGGAGAGAGTGGTAGCACAGGCGATTTGTGATCACTTCTGGTGTCTTTGTGTCCAAAGCAACAGATGTGGGGTGCAGAGCCTTCCTTTTCCCCCAGTCACCCATCCTCTTCGGTCTCTGAGGTGTGACGTGACAGCCGGGCTGGCAGTGAGGGCTGCTGGCTCCCACTAGGCTCCCCCGCACACCCCCACGGGTCAGCTCCAGCTCCTGCGCACCCCCACATCCTGGCTGTCCCCGGCTTGCTGCTCACCCCGACGCGCTGTGTTGCAGACATTCCGCCTGTACCAGGAGTACAAGGATGAGATCCTCGTGAAGGCCTTCGTGGAGTGCCAGAAAAGGAGCTTGGTCAACCGGCGCCGCGTCAACCACACGCTGGGCCCGAAGAAGAACCGGGCTTTGCCCTTCGTGCCCATGTCCTACCAGCTGTCCCAGAGCTACTACAGGTGGGCACACGCTCGGGAAGCCTTGGCCTGGGCCTAGGAGGGGCGGGGCGCCCGGTGTCGGAGACCCGGCCACGGGAGCACATATGAGTACAAGTAGCAGGACACCGTGCTCATCGGAGAACACGGCAGCCGGGGCTGTGCGGCCTCATGCAGGAGATGCAGCCTCTGGGAACGAGTGTCCCCGCCCACACCGCTCTGTCCCGGTGCGGGCAGAAGGCCGACACTTGCAGTGTTTTGTGTTGGGGCGTTTACCCTTTTCACGGGTCGTTTCTTTCCCTTTCTCCGGTGGAATCGGGTAAGATGAGTTTCTAATGTGATACTTGGTCCAGTTAAAGTACACCTCCCTGGTGGCATAGGCTCAGTCCCTAATCCTCACACTCAGAGCCACACCAAGCCACCCTTCGTGCGGGCGGGCACACAGGCTTCATTGTGAGGCCATCAGCTATTGCTGAGGCTCAGTCTGCAGCACAGCAGCGCCCCCAGTGGTGGGGTGGGGTGGGGTGTTGAGAATTGCCTGATGGGACAACTCCTGCTGGGAGCGCTGCTCCCAGCTCCCAGCTCCTAGCTCCCAGCTCCTAGCTCCCAGCTCCCAACTCCCTGCTCCCTGCTCCCTGCTCCCTGCTCCCAACTCACAGCTCACAGCTCACAGTGTGGCCTCACACCGGGCAGACCTGGCTGCTGTTCACTGCACATCTGGCATCCTGCACACCCAGCCTCCTTAACCACGCAAAGGAAGTCCATTAAAACCGTTCCAGAAGTTCATCGCAGCTCTGTCCCAGGCTGCCTTCCCCCTCTCCTTGCCAGTCTCCTGACCAATCCACAGCCCCATGCAGAGACCCCTTCAGACACAGAACAGCAGCCTGAAGGTTGTTTTGTTTCCTTCATCCCTCTCTCTGCGTATGACCCCAGACACTTGCTCCTTTCCCAAACACCCATCCCAGTGACCCTCGGTCCCTTTTCCTTTCCGGGGACCGGCCTGACGTAGTAAAAAGAGCCGTGACCTGGGAAGCAGAAGACATGCGTTCAGGTCCAACAAGGCCATGTGACCTTGAGCCCCTTAATGGACTGCAGCATCCCCCTCTGAGCAGAGAGCAGTGCTATGCAGATCAGAAAGGCCTGTGGGTCTCCCTCTGTCTCTGCTGGTACAGAGTCTTGGAAAGTTGCACTCTGGACCAAGGCAAGGGCAGTCACCTTTTGGAGACAGTGAGGTTGGGCACAAGGGTGCCCTCTCATCGCTGTGTGGGCTCAGGGCTTGCCTTGTGTGAAAGATTGTTATGACGAAATGTATACCCATCTCCCCCATTTGGCACCTGTTTCTAGTGAGTGCCTCATGAGTGGGGAAGGGGGGCGCAGTCGGGTCGGAATGCAGCGCCGTCAGCGGAGAGGGAGGAGAGAAGCCGCTGGGTGTGCTGATGCCTCGAGGGAAGGCTTCCGCATCCTGCCCTCAGGGAGGCCCCACCCTTCTTTCTGTCCGTGTAGGATCTTCACATGGCGGTTTCCCAGCACCACCTGTGCAGAATCGTTCCAGTTCTTCGACAGAATCCGGGCTGCTGGCAAGTTGGACCAGCCGGATAATTTTTCCTTCAAAGACCAGGACAGTAACGACTGCTCAAGTGACCTGGTGGCATTTTCTTTGGACGGCCCTGGAGGACACTGCGCGGCTGCCCTGACCCTCTTCTCTTTGGGCCTCGTCTCTGTGGACGTCAGAATCCCCGAGCAGATCGTGGTGGTGGACAGTTCGATGGTGGAGAACGAGGTCATTAAGAGGTAAGGGCGGAGCCCTCGGCGGCTGCTCACGCCAGCACTGCGTACGCCACCCTGAGCATGGGGGCTTTCCGCACCTTCATTTCCTCTTCCCTGCGGTGTCCGCAGCTGCGTTTGCTGGGGCATCTGGTCTGCAGTTATGAGCTGACCTCTCTGTGCTGCGTCGGCGCTGTGTGGGCACTTGCCAGAGAAGACAGCAGAGCCGAGTGCTGCCCCCCAGGGCTCCCAGCGGGGCTTCCCACACCTGAGAAGTGGGACCTGCGGGGACACATCCCAGGCAGGGCCACCTGCCGGAGCCTCGGCCACCAGGGGAGCCAGAGGTGTGGCTTGGCTATGCCAAAGAGAAACACACAGGGCCTTGTAGTGAGGAGGGTTGAACGGAGAAGGAAGGGTTGGCAAAAGGTCCTTGATGGTGTAGTAACTGGACTGGGATTTAATGGGAAGTGGGTGGTTCATGGGCAGAGACTAGGGAGGGTTTTCAGGCAAAAGGAAAGACCCCCAATGGGCCCCCAATGGGCCCTTGGAAAGATGGTATGTGAACAGGGGTCAGGTGTGTGGAAAGGTGAGTGAGGGGCATCTGGAGTGGCAGTCCATGCCGACCCTCACAGCCAGAGGCCGGGGTGCCAGGGCCATCGCCAGGCCCGGCCACAGACTCGGGGCTACAATGTGCGCAGGAGGGATGGCCGGGCAGCAGATGGGCTGGGCCCAAGCTCGGTCATCTAGGCCAGTTTTCTTCTTCCAGCATGGGGAAGGACGGAGCCTTGGAAGAGGATGAAGAGGAAGAGGAAGATTTAGACGAAGACCCAGGGGGCAAGCGCCAAAGCATCGAGGTGAAAGCCCCCCAGGCCTCCCACACCAACTACCTGCTGATGAGGGGCTACTGCGCCCCGGGCATCGTGAGCACCCGGAACCTCAACCCCAACGACAGCATCGTGGTGAACTCCTGCCACGTGCGGTTCTGGCTGCGCGGCAGCCCCTTGCCCACCGGGCTCGGGCCTACCGGTGAGCGCTGCCCTGGCCCGGCCTGTGACCCAGACCCTGGTGCCCACCTCCCAGCTCCCAGGGCCAAGTGCTGAGGCTGTGCCCACACTCACGTTAGAACTTCCCCTGGGCTCCCGTGTTCCCAGGCCCCAGAGGGCACGCGGCGACGGCACCAGCCCCCCGGCCCCGGCCTGTTTTCCCACGGCAGCGTGTTCACTGCTTCCGTCTGCAGCTCTTCTCGTGGTCCCCTTCGTAACTCTAAATTACTCACTTGTGTGAAATTTTTAAGTATTTTGAGTTCTTACTGTGAAAAAATTAGTATTCTGCTTATATTAATTATCTCTCACATCCTTTACTCCTAACTTTTATACATTTTTTAGCGCTTCAGTTGATTACCTTTGAAACTTTAAATAACTGACTCACACCTCTATTTCCTGCACCCCGACTTCAGGCAGTCTCTCTTCTCTCTGCACAAAATGAGAATATCAGGGTCCTTCCCTTCCCAGCGTCTCTCTTCCTCCTTCCCTGCCCTTTTCTGCCTCTGGCTGCCTTGATTCTTACAGGTCGAGGTGGATGGTGTTCACTTTTGGTTTTCATAATCATGACTAGAGTTTCTGGGCGTTGCCTGGAGCTTGAGGCAGGCAAAGCAGTGGCGGCCTGGGGCCGTGGTCTCAGCAGGGACACCTGCAGGGGAAGCAGCAGGAAGCAGCCCTGGCTCCCGCACCCAGAAGCGGGGATTTAAGGAGGGTCCCAGGGTGGCTCACGGGGCCTGAGGGGCGGTGAGCACGGAGCATTAGTAAGGGGGGGGGGGCCAGTATCAGCTGAGTCAGGGGCCTCCCCTCCAGGACTTTGGGGCCACAGTGTTCTGACCCCACCCCTGTTCTGAGCTCTTCACTTTGAGTCCTGAGCAGGAGAACCGTAGCGGCCCCAGGGGAATGCGCCCGCTGGCTGCAGTCAAGGACCCAGGGGCACATCTCAGGAACCTGACTGCCGCGGGCCCAACCTCGTTGTACCCCGAAGATTTGGGGAGCGGTGGGTCGGCACTGGAGCGGTGGGTCGGCCACCGCAGCATCATGGGTGCACCAGCCTGCGGAGGGGGCTCCGTCGGGGCCAGTTCTGATGCCCCTGTCTCCGCAGCCACTCCTCCGGAAGAGCTGACAGTGGGAACCTCCTGCCTTCCTGACTTGTTCACCAGGCTGATAAACTACCGAGAGCACAGCTGCAGCTTGGAAGAGTTTGTCCACCAGGTGGAGCTGTCTGGGTACAAACCTGCAGACGTGTCCGCCGCTTTGGAGGTCCAGGGGGCCATTGCGGCCGCAGGTTGCTTCGGGGTGGACAAGGTGGAGCTGAGCCGACGGTTCTCTGCCCTCGAGAGGGCAGATGGCGAGCGCACCAGGGCCTTCGCAGACTACGTCCAGGTGAGCCATGCTCTCGGGTCGTCTGGGAAAGCCAAGGCATCAGTTGCAGCTCACAGGCCAGGTGCACACTGCGAATGCAGCTGGTTTGGGACATAGAATATAATGTTTTTAGAAGTTGAATCAGTTGTCAACGTATAAAAATAGGAGCTTTGTCTAAAACCCAGCTTTTCCTGGGTGTTAAAAGATCTGGCCAGACTGGACTCTGCTCCTTCAGCCCAATTGGCTGGAGCCCTTGTACTCTCCGCTGTACCTGCCCAGACCCCTTTGCCTCACTGACCCTTGAGCCCAGAGAATGCAACAACAGATGGGCCTGTAAATGAGTGCCCCGGGCTCGGCTGCCGTCCTGAGGGTCGTCCATAGCTGGCGGCAGTCGGGTGCTTCTCACTTGTCAGAGAGGTCGGTGTTGTTAGGGACTCGGCATCAAACCAGTTCTCGCAAGCTCAGGAAGGAAGAGGCCATGCTAACTACTGTCCACTTGCGGTTTGGGCATTCTCAAAAGTCCTGGTGTGCCCGGGGCCTGCAGGGTTGGTGGGCGGGGGCCGTCCCCCGGCCACAGGGCGGCACACAGGCAGGCAGCAGGCCCACCGACTGTCAGAGGTGACGGGCCGGGCGGCTCCCCAAGCTCCTGGTGCCGGGGCCAGAGGCCCACAGGCTGAGCGCCACAGCCAACTCCCACACGGCCTGGGTGTGAGGCCGGGCCCCAGGCGAAGTCCTTGAGCTCCGCCTCGTGGGTTTTTAACGGAAAAATTAAAAGAAAGGTGACGGCAACTCCATGTGCCACTCAGTGGCACCCAGCTACCACTGCTGGGTAGGGACGGCTATGGGGGCAGGCCTGGCACGAATGTGAGAGGAGTTACAGCAGTGGCTTTTGCGGAAGAACTTGCTAGCGCTGAGGCGTTCAGTCCCATGGGGAGACGCCGGCAGGCAGAAGGAAACTTGGAAAGTCGAGTCAGCTTCGAGTATGTAGCTGCAGTTCCTGGACAGATGGGCACACTGAGCCCAGAGAGGGCGGGGCCACCCCAGGGCCACACGGCCGGCCTGGTGCCAGCCTGCGGCTGGACTCCCAGCCTCATCTGAGAGTTGTCTGCCCTGATGGGCCTGGGCACTTGCTTCCGGTGCTGAATCCCGCCAGGCAGGAGAAGCAACCCTGACTGTCCTGGGGTCCCACACAGACCCAGGGTATCTCCTGCCTTTCCTAGGACCTCTTGGAGCGACACCAGGTGCTGGAAGTGGGCGCCAACTCCGTTCGCCTGGTGGCCATGGCCTCTGCCCAGCCCTGGCTCCTGCACTCGGTGCAGCTGAAAGGCAAAGAGGAGGACACTGACGCACAGAGAGAAGACCCCCAGGCCAGACCCTTGGAGGGGACCTCCAGCGAGGACAGCCCTGCCGAGAGGCAGGCACCTCCTCCTCAGGGCTCCCAGGCCAGCAAGAGGCGCGCCAGCTGGGCCAGCGCCGACCTGGCCTGTCAGGGCGGAGAGGCCAGCTCTGAGAGCACCCAGAAGCCCCCGGCAAAGAGGCCCGCGCTCCAGGACGTGCGCTTGGGTGCCAGCCCGAGAGCAGAGCAGGGGGAGGAAACCCCAGCATTTGCCCCTCCCTCAGCTGGAGACACGGGTTCAGGGGAGCCCCTCCCAGGAGCATGGGAAGCCAGACAGGAGGACCACGATGGTGTCAGGGTGCCCGGCTCCCCAGGCAAAGAGCAGCAGAGCTGTCAGCCCCAGCTTCCAGAGGGCTCAGAAGACACCAGAGGTACATTCCCCCGACCATTCTCTGTCTGGGCCCGATTGTGCTGTGCAACAGCCAACCTGCTCGGTTCGCAAACGGGGCCTCTACTTCACCTTTGCATAGCCTCAGCCTGGAGGGGAAGGACTTGCCTGTTTACATTTGGTGCTTCCCTAAAGGGCAGGGGCTTCTGCTCCCCCGAGCAGGTCTGAAGAGCAGTGCAGAGGCACCAGGGGTGGTTCTGGAAGCGTGTTTTCTGAGGTAGCCAGTGGGAGGGAGCAGTGGCAGAAGTGGGGAGGGTCACCGCTCTGCAGGCCTGGCACCAAGAGAAACCCGTGGTTCCCCTGTCCTGTGTGTGAGTCCTCATCTCCACACTGGCCTCTGCAGTGGTTCCTCGAGGTGCTTTGTTTACGGGGCTCTTCTTGCCTAAGGGGTTACACAGCTCCGAGGTTGGGGCTCTTGAAGGAAGGTGAGGTGCTCAGTCCCCTCTGCCGGCACGGGGGTCCTCAGGGCCCTGGGAGCGAGCTCCCACAGGTGCACGCCGCGGCCCCTCCTGGTCCTGTTCTGGGTGTGCTGGCTTCGGCCTCCGCAGCGCCTCTCCCAGGCGGGGGACTGTGCGAGGAATGGGATTGCTGCCCCTCTGGTCACAGCTTCACCCCACAGCCCAGGGATGCTTGTCGAATGAATGAGAGGAAGAGGTGAGCTCCCACCCTTTAAAGTCTCTCATGCCCTTTCCTCTTCCCTCAGGTATGGCGGAGGGCTTTGTGGCCAGCAGCCTCTCCCAGGCAGCGCGGGATCGGTGAGTGTGCGGCTGAGGTTCAGGAGACCTGGGCCGGGGCGGTGCACTGGGGAAGCTCTCCCTCGGGGTTCCCAGGCAGGAGACCCAGTAGTAATGATCATGTGGAGACCTTCCCCAGAGAGACAGGTTGGGCAGTTTGCCTGCACAGTGGCCTGGGGGACGTGAAAGTGTGTGGTGTGGCTCGGTCGTGCCGCTCGCTGTGGGGACAGGGCAAGAGCTCGTCGCGTGTAGTGGACGGGGGCCGGGAGTGCCGGGCGTGGCGTCGTCTGGGTTCGTCCCCAGTGGGCTCGTCTCCCACGGGTTTCACGGAAGCCTTTCCGACAAGGGGCGCCTCCCACAAACCTGCACATTGCCCTCAGCTTGGTGGGACCCATGTGCTCCCAGCTCCCAAGAGCTCAGATTCAGTCCCCCTAGGGCCCAGTCAGAGGTCCAAGTCAAGTGTCCCACCCCTGGGCCCCACGTGGCAGTCCCGTCCCTGGTTGGTGTTCAGCAGAAACCTTCGTTCTGAGGCGCACGTGTCTGGGTTACAGCCGAGTCTGAGCAGGCTCCCACATTGCCTCTTTCCTCAGCCGGTGCCCAGGGCCCCAGTGGTGGGGCTCCTGGTGGTAGGGGGTACAGAGCAGAAGGTAGGCCGGCCGTCCCCAGCCTTGTGACCTGGGCCCCACCCCAGACTTCCTTGAGCCGCAGTGTCTGACTGAGGAGTGGGGGCCGCGTGCGAGCGAACTGTCCCCCGCTCCCGCGGAGCCTGACGTCCCTCCGCCCACCCTGCAGGGACTGTGAGAGCATCTGCTTCATCAGCCGCCCATGGCGCATCGTGGACGGCCACCTGAACACGCCAGTGTGCAAGGGCATGATGGAGGCCGTGCTGTACCACGTCATGGCCAGGCCCGGCGTGCCGGAGAGTTGCCTGCTGCAGCACTACCAGGGCGTCCTGCAGCCCGTCGTCGTGCTCGAGCTGCTCCGGGTGCGGCGGGGTGCTGGGCTCCCTCTGCCTGGGCCCTGGGGTGGTGGGTGCGCTGGATGAGTCCCGGGGAAATGGCCACTACATACAGGTACCCCCCACAAGGGGCAGCAGACGCAGAGGTTGGCCAGCAGCCTCCTGACAGAGAGCCGGGCTCCTCAGAAGGGCCTTCTGCTCCAGGTGCTTCCCCTTACCGTGTGCTTCACCCCGTTCTCAGCCCCGCGCAGACAGGTCTGCCGCACTGCCCCCGAGGCAGCTCTGCCGGCCACAAGTCCCAGGCCTGCTTCATGTCTTGCTTCTGGGCTCTTTGCTATTTGGCGCTGCTCGCAGCCAGCTCTTCTCCTCAGCACTCTTTCCTCAGCCTCCTGCAGTCCCCAATCCCACCCTGGGTTCCTGCCCTGGGCTGGCACCCACAGCAGCCTTCGCCAGCCCCGCGCTGCTGCTAGAGCCTAAACACCAGCGTTCCCAGGGTCTCTTCCCTGGCACTTTGTCTAGAGCAAAGGTCATGAGCTCACAGGCCCGCGGGCAGGCTGGTAAACGAGTGACGAGCGGGTGGCAGGGAGAGCTTGGAGACGTGCCCTCAGCCTCTGAGAGCAGCTGCGTCCCACCTGGGCCTGACTGCCACCCCTGTCCCCAGGGGCTCCCACTCTTCGACACAAGCTGGAAACTGAAATTTCCTGAACTTAAAAGCATGTGTAGGCCAAACAGAATCCCATCTAGAAGCAGTTTTGGCCCATGGGAATGGTGGTCACACTTCTCTCTCTTGTCCTGGGTTTTTGTCTGAACCCACAGTAAATCTCTACTTGTCCCTCAAGGCCAAGTTCAGGTGTCCCCTGTTCTGGGAAGCAGCAGACATGGTCCATAAATGCATGTGTCAACCTGTATGTCTGGTGTCTCTAGGGCCTGGAATTCCTCGGCTGCATTAAGAAGCGCTTGCTAAAAAAGCCTGCGACTATCTCACTCTTCTCCAAACCCGTGGTGGACGAGGCAGAGATGCCCTCCAGCCCAAGAGAGGCGTTCTACGAGCCCACACTGGACTGCACCCTCCGGCTGGGCTGCATGTTCCCCCATGACATCAACTGGAACAAGTGGGTCCACTTATGAGGCACGTGTGGCCATCGAGACCGTCCCATCCACACTGCTGGCTGCTGAGCACGAAGCAAGCTCCCTGGGGTGGGGCCTCCTGACTGCCCTCATGATGCAGCCTGTTAATGGCAGGGTGCAGAGAGCCCTGCCCGCAGCCTGGAGCTCCAGGAAGAGGGCCACTTGCCCATCTGCTCCTTTGCCCAGACTGGCCTGGGAACCCTGGACTTCTAGGGGAGCAGCTGCCAGGAGACTTTGGTCCCCACCTGTGCTGTTCCTCTTGTGCCAGGGCCCTGGCCGTTGCTGCAGGCACATCTCTGCTCCCAGCACACTCCCTGCCCTCTCTGGAGCCCAGGTGGGGTGGTTTTGAGAGGCCCGAGCAAGCCTTTCTCTGTGGGCTTCTGCAGTGTGGCTGCCGTTTGGGAAGAGCGCTACTTGTCCACGCCACCAGCCTGAGTTGCCAGGTGTTGGCCGTGGGGGTCAGGAGCGCCGTCTGGGCCATGGGGCTTACCTGTCCATGCACACCAGATCCCAGCACCGCTGCAGACTATCCCTGGCTCCCCAGAAAGCCCAGGGGCCCCTGAGCAGCAGGGCCTTGTGGGGACATGTCACAGAATGGAGGCTGTGTGCCCTGCCACCAAGAGCCTCAGCAGAGACTTCCATCCAGGTAGGACATCTGACCCCTGAGGCTGGGACTGGGCCACTAGACAGGAGCCTGCCGGCTCCTTCTTAGCCTGGCAGGCCCCACGACAGGCCTCCCGCGCGCCCTCTCCTGCTGGCAAGAAGGCAGGCGTCCCTGTAGGTTTGGGATTTGTCTTGTTCTAAACTGCTTGACTCATTAAAAAAAAAAAAAATCCCCTGTCATGTGTTTATTTATTTCTTTTTAAGATTTTATTTATTTTTAAAGGGAGAGAAACATCAATGTGTGGTTGCCTCTCGTGCACCCCCAACTGGGGACCCAGCCCACAACCCGGACATGTGCCCTGACGGGGAATTGAACCAGCAACCCTTTGGTTCACAGTCTGGTACTCAGTCCACTGAGCCACACCAGCCAGAGCTATTTTTTAATTAGAATAAAGTAAGATGCATTTAGTTTTGTGTGTTTCCTACAGAGTCTGGTCCCCAGGGGATTCCTTGTCTTCAGCCATACAACAGCTAGGAATAGATATTCCCAATAAAATCAAAGTACAAGGGAGGAGCTGTGGGGGAGCAGCCTCACCCACCTGCCCCTGCCCTTCCTCCTCTGCAGCTGGGCCCGCGCCTGGTGCTCCCCAGAGAAGCCCGTGCAGCTGTGTTAGACCAAGCCCAGGCCGGGGCCTGGGGGCAGAGGTTTCAGGCCTGTGGCATGGAATTGGTTTTATATATATTTTTAAAGATCTGGCAACATACTATTTAGGTCAGAAGTAGGGACATGGCCCCCTGACCCCCCTCTGGGTTCACTGTCATAGCCACTGCAGCTGCTTTCCCCCCAAAACCAGCTCATCTGGGCGTGTGTGACCTGCAGGGCCTGACCTGGCCCCACCCGAGGCCCTGTGCTTCGTCCTCTCTGCTGGGGGCGTGGTCACCGGTCACACTGGGCCTGACCTCAACACCGAGGACAGGAACACGGGGTCTGGAGCCTTGAGAGCGAGCTCCAAGAGGACCTGGCCAAGTCATAGCATTATTTTTTTCCTTCCTTTTTTTCATTTTTACTGAAATGTAAAAAGATAGTGTTTAGGGTGATTTCTTTTTTAGATCAAGTAGAATAATGGATATATGTTTTCTACACAAAGTGCATTACAAATGCTGATTATTTGGGAACATGTCCTATGATAGAAAGGAGGTAGGTTTGGGAATCTTTTTTTTTAATATTTTATTTATTTTTAGAGAGCGGGGGAAAAAGAGGGAGACAAACATCAATGTGCAAGAGAAACAGCAATCCGTTGCCTCTTGCATGTCTCCAACCAGGGGCCTGGCCCGCAACCCAGGCATGTGCCCTGGCTGGGATTGAACCAGCGACCTTTTGATTCGCAGGTGACGCACAGCCCATTGAGCCACACGAGCCAGGACAGGAATCCTTGATGTTCACATCCCAGAAGCTTCATTTTCTCACAGAATATCTCTCACAGGAAGGCCAGGTGAATACCAAATGTAAGCACAAAGCAGGGTTCAGCAACTCACTGCCTCTCCTGTATCCCCCAAATGAGAGACACTTCGGGCTCATGCTGGGGAGGTGGGACATAGTGATGAGGGTACAACTCTCCGTGGAGCGATGGGGCTTCCCTGTGACTACCGGTGCCCATCCCCACAGCCAGCCTGCTGTGCAGACACGGCCTGTGCCTGCCCGCCCTCCCTCCACCCACCCATCCCTCCACCTGCCCATCTGTCCGTCTACCGCGCCCTCCCACCCAGCTCTGCACCAAGTGCCCCAGGGACCACGGGGGTAGGCCCGCAGCTGTGAGCTCAGGTGCCTTCAGGGGCAGCTGTGAGCTCAGGTGCCTTCAGGGTCTAGGCCGGTAGCCCAAATGAGAGGAAGGGACCCTGGGTTAAATACTAGGGACCTCAGAAAATGAAAATGTACATGCCTGGAGTATGGAGGAATTCACATTTATAAGAAAAATTACTTTAAAGGCAGACTACCAAATAAAAGTGAGGGCAGGGAGGGGCCCCGAGCCCATGCGGGGAGAACCCTGCACACCCCAACGGGCCAGCTACTCCAGGCTGTGGCTGCAGCCCCGCACCTGGGCTCTGCTGCCTGTCCCCTGCTCCTCCTCCCCTCTCCCCCTACTCCTTGTTGCTCGCCTCAGTTAAACACTTAGCACAGGGGTGTCAAACTCATTTTATCATGGGCCACATCAGCCTCAGGGTTGCCTTCAAAGGGCCGAATGTAATTTTAGGACTGTAAATGTAACTACTCCTTAACAGTTAAGTGAGAGCTCAGATAAAACAAGGAGGGCCGGATTTGGGATTTGGATTCGGGATTTGGCTGCTGGCCTTGTGTTTGCCACCTGTGCCTTAGAACATTGCAGACAAGACTTAAACCCCAGGCACCTTTCTCCTTCATACCTTTTTAGATTTATATCCATGTTATGCGCCCCCAGAAAACATGGGCCTGTGATGCCATTTGTACACAAATATACCATCCACACAGCTTGAGCTGTTCCCCCAGCAGTTAGCTCCCCCCGCAACCCCAGTACCCCCCAGCACATCCTTGTCAGCACTCACAAAGCTCCTCCTCACCGCCAGAGCCCCAATACCGAGGTCCTGAACCTGTTCTCGTTTCCCTAACGGGGAGCACTGAAATTGCTTCCTGCTTTCCCCTTGAGCGTCATGTGCTGCCTTCATGGGCCCTGCTGGCCGCCTTTCTTGAGTCCTCAACAGATCTTGTTCGGTCCTTCACTCCTGAGCCCTCTTCCCGCGCTCCCGGCCGCCTGTGCTCCTCCTGGGCTGACAGTGACCTCTGTCATCTGACTTCCCCTGACTGCCATCCTTCCCCTGGGCCTTTGGCCCATGCTGCCAGGGGCTTCCCAAATGTGCGTGGGTCTGTGTGTACCCTGTGTGTGTGTATGTGTGTATGCACACGTGCAACCCCTGCCCCCTCAGTGATCTCACACCTGCACTGCCCAGCGCCCAGAGCATGCCCACCCACCCCAGGAGAAGTGAGCCCTCGTTGAGATCACACTAGAGCCTGCCGGTTCGCCTTGGGCCCTCGTCGCCATACTGCCTTCACAGAGGTTGCTGTGAGGACTGGATAGGGCCGCCTGCCTGAGCCTCGGACACAGCTCCTGGCAGAGGAGCGGGGGAGGGCCCCTTCAGCACACACTTCCCTAAGTTCCAGGGATCCCCGGCAGGTAGCTTAGCGGCCGCAGCCCAGTGTCTCTCTTTCCTTCCGGTTCACCTTGGTCTCCAGACTGTAGCTCCACGTTTAGGGGTGAGCCCGGTGAGAGCTTACTGGGGTGGTATGTGATTTGTCCACAAAAACGATAATAAAGCACTAACAGTTTCTGGGCACTCACTTGGACTGTGCTGGATGGTTTCGGGCACTGATCTCCCAGTAGTGAGACAGACATAAAATGTACATTCCATCAGTATTCTCATTTCATGTGTGAGGAAATTAAGGCACCAGTAGGTAAAATAATATGCCCTAGCTGGTGTGACTCAGTGGATCAAGCGCGGGCCTGTGAAGCAAAGGGTCACTGGTTCAATTCCCAGTCAGGGCACATGCCTGGGTTGCAGGCCAGGTCCCCAGTGAGGAGTACATGGGAGGCAACTACTCATTGATGTTTCTCTCCCTCTCTTTCTCCCTCCCTTCCCCTCTATATAAAAATAAATAAAATCTTTAAAAAATAATTTCTGCAAGTTTGGACGCTAGTAAATGGATCTGCTGGCTCCCCATCTCGGGCCATTGTAACTCCCAGCCCCCTCGTTAACACCACATTCCGGGGACTAGGTTTGCTTTGGGGTGGGGAGCTGGCCTGGTGCTGGGGGACCTCCTACATAGCAGAATGCAAGCTTCCTGGGGCCATCAGTTTTTAAAAGCAGACCTTCAAATTTGTTGCTGCTAGGGGTGGGGAAAGACCTTAGCTGGCCCATAGGATGAGCAGTGGGGGAGGATCTCCTGCTCCATTTGCAGACGTCCAAGGACACCCCTGTCTTTGTCTTCGTGTCCCGGACTGGAACCTTTCCAGGTCCAGGGACAGGCAGACGGCTCCTTCCTAGGCTCAGCTCCCCACCTCCTCTCGGCCCCCTGCTTTTTTTTTTAATATATTTTATTGATTATGCTATTACAGTTGTCCCATTTTCCCCCTTTATTCCCCTCCACCCTGCACACCCTCTCCCACCCACATTCCCCCTCTCTAGTTCATGTCCATGGGTCATATAAGTTCTTTGGCTTCTACATTTCCTATATTATTCTTACCCTCCCTCTGTCTATTTTCTACCTACCATTTATGCTACTTATTCTCTGTACCTTTTCTCCCTCCTCCTCCCACTCCCCTGTTGCTAACCCTCCATGTGATCTCCATTTCTGTGGTTCTGTTCCTGTTCTAGTTGTTTGCTTAGTTTGCTTTGATTTCTGTTTTAGGTGTGGTTGTTAATAACTGTGAGTTTGCTGTCATTTTACTGTTCATATTTTTTATCTTAGATGAGTCCCTTTAATATTTCATATAATAAGGGCTTGGTGATGATGAACTCCTGTAACTTGACCTTATCTGAAAAGCACTTTATCTGCCCTTCCATTCTAAATGAAAGCTTTGCTGGATAGAGCAATCTTGGATGCAAGTCCTTGCCTTTCATGACTTGGAATACTTCTTTCCAGCCCCTTCTTACCTACAAGGTCTCTCTTGAGAAATCAGCTGACGGTCTGATGGGAACTCCTTTGTAGGTGACTGTCCCCTTATCTCTTGCTGCTTCTAGGATTCTCTCCTTATCTTTAACCATGGCTAATGTGATTATGATGTGCCCACTGCTTTTTCAAGTCACTACTTGTTGTTGATCGATGGATCAATTCATTCATTCAATATTTTTGAGTACCTGCTATGTGCCAGGCACTGTTCCAGACCCGGACACAAAATCCCCGTGCTAGTGGGGTAGAGAGTGTACAATAAACAAAAGAGTGCTGTGAGTGTCGTGGACAAAACAAAGCCTCGGTAAGTGGGGTGCAGTCTCAGTGACTCAGGGACCCAGGGTGGCAGGTCCCACGAGAAGCTGACATGTGAGCAAAGACTTTACTCCCTCACTTTTCTCTCCCATTTCCCTCGTTGAGAACTTAGACTTCTTGCTCCTTTACCCCCTTTTTTCCCTTTTTACCATCTGACTCAACGATTTCATTTCTGGAATTCCATGTGTGTGTATACCCGAAACCTGACAGCAGGATTGCGGGGGAGGTAGCCGGGGCCCCTGCCACAAGGTGGGGGCGGTTGATGCTTTTTCATTTAAACGTGTTCACATGGCTTCACTGATTGCAAGTAATGTGTTTGTCTCTGTAATTATATTTCTTCAATTAAGAAATGAAGTTGCCCTGGCTGGTGTAGCTCAGTGGATTGAGCGTGGACTGTGAACCAAAGGGTCGCCAGTTCAATTCCCACTCAGGGCACATGCCTGGGTTTTAGGCCAGGTCCCCAGTAGGGGGTGCGAGAGAGGCAACCACACATGGATATTTCTCTCCCTCTCTTTCTCCCTCCCTCCCCCTCTCTCTAAAAATAAATAAAATATTTTTTTAAGAAAAGAAGGAAAATAAGAGAAAAAAAAACATGAAGTCATGCCCCAGCCAGTGGGTGCAGTTGGTTGAAGCGTCATCCTGTAACCAAAATGTCATCATCAGTTCAATTTCTGGTCAGCACACATGCCTAGGTTGTGAGTTCGATCCTCAGTCAAAGTGACTATGAAAGGCAACCAATCGATGCTTCTCTCTCCCCCTTTCCCTCTCTCAAATGAGAATAAATTAAACATGAAGACTCAGGCAACTAACGCCTGCTGTGGCCTTGGGTTTCCTTGCCCAGGACCTGCCTCCAACCTGAGCATGAATCATGGGCTCTAGGGCTGAAAAGACACCCAGAAAGCCGACGTTAGGATGGGCAGCCAGTAGGTCCAGCCTGCTCACTGCACCGGCCACAACTGTCCACTCACACAGCAGTCTTAAGTAGCTGCCCGGGCCGGCCAGGCGCTGTCCTGGGGGTTGCTCCTTTACTCTGGATTAATGGACCGGGTCCCGGGGTGGGAAACGCAGGCACTCACTCTTCCGTCTTCCACTGGAAGGCCTCTTCTTGGCTCCGTCGGTGCCTCTGGGGCGAGCGCAGCTGGGACGGGCCGTGAAGGACTGAGCACTCGGCGCCAGCAGCCAGGCCAGGCAAACAGCATCCGGGGCAGAAGTGGGGATGGAGCTTTCCCTCCACCAGGAGGGGGTCAAAAGGAGCCCACCGCGTGGAGTGACGCACGGAACCCGGGTGACTCTGGCAAGTCACAGCCCCTCCCGGCCTCCTTGGGCCAGGTCTGATTTGCACCCTCTCCCTCCTTCCCAAAGCAGGTCACCCGGGACAGCCAGATGGCATCCCAGGCTGATACTCCCAGTGACTCGATGGGGAATGGTCAGGAAGCTGGTGTTCCTGGGCCCTTCAAATCCTGGCAGAGGTCCATGTCAGGTTCAGAACATGCTGGATGCAAACCCTGGAGAACCATCTAGGGAGAGACTGGAGAAGGGCTCCAGGACCCATGCTCATCTGCCTCAAAGTCTAGGGGACAGTTGTTTCAGGCATGGCTGGCTCCAGAGCTCAAGAGATATTGCAGGTGTCCATTTCCCAACACTGCTTTCTCGGGTACTGGGAAAGCTCTGCTCTCCTGGTGCCTCAGGAAGCTCCAGGCTTGGTCCACCCAACAGCTCAGCAATCCCAGTAGAAAGAGCGCATGGACCAGCTTGGGTCACTTGTCTGTCACTGGTTGGTGGCTAGGCCTGGGTCACACAGCCACTCCTGTCTCTGGAGCCAGTCATGCCCAGGAGGATGCTGCACAGGGAGAAGCAACAGGCACCCACCCACACGTGTTTGCTAAGTGTTTGTTAGCTCCTGACCTAGGTCCCTATGGGCAGAGCAGAAGAGCTGGGCTTGGGATCCAGAGCCCAGAGCTGGAGTCCTGACCTCAGGCAGGTCACCAGGCCATTCCGCCCCTTCACTTCATCTGTCCCATGGCTGCCCCTGCCCCTTCAGGGCCACGGGTGGGAAAGGGTTGGGCCAGGAGCAGAAGGTGGCATCTTTGCAAGGGGTGTTCCTACCGGTCCTCCTGCCTCTTAAGGGGCAAATCTGGCCTGGACTTTGGGGACAAAGAACCGCCTTCCCCACCTCCACTCACTCAAGGCTTGCTCGCACCCCTAGGCCTTAGCCCACGCCCTGCCACCTGCCGGAACCACTGGCGCACCCAACAATCCCCATTCCTCTTTCAAGTCCAACAAGAGCCGAATCCTTGCCGAGACCCCTGCTTGCCCCTCCTGATGCCCCTCGTGGCTCCCATCAGCAGTGTCCCAGGGCTGGACCAGCGAGGACGGTCACTGGTGCACACCTGTTCCCAATCCCGTGCTTAGTGTCATTAAGTCGGTACCTGAAATTGGCCACGGTGGGAGTATTTACACGGTGGAATAAGCAACCACTACCGACCAGGCTTTACTGAGTGCCTCCTGGGTACCAGACTGAGGGCAGGGCAGCAAACGGAACAAAGTTGTTCCTTTCGCTTATCCATCCACCCACCCTCCAGTGTACCCACTGGCCTGACCTTCATCCATCTGCCCGCCTCCTGCAAATCCCTCCTCCCAGGTGAGCCAGCTCTCGTCTGGCTTTTGCACCCATGTTTGTGAGCAGGGCCCTTTCAAAGACGAAGCCAGTCAAGAGCTGTGTCCAGCCCGGATCAGAGCCTCCTCGAACCCCGGGCCTGGCATCGGTCAGTCTCCCAGGAGCCCCCCTCCCCTCCCCTCCCCTCCCCCAGCATACAGTTCTGTGTGGAGAGCTGAGCTGCTGCCCTAGGGGGCTTGAGGCCCAGGTGGCTCCTGGAAACTCTTGCCCCCACCAGGGTGTGGAAACCACAGCACACCTTGGCTGAAGTGTCTCCAAGGTGTTGGGGGGATGGTGAGGGCTGTTCACACCTGCAGGAGCTACGGTTGCACATTTGTGCTGGCACCTGAGCTGCATACAGCCTAACTCAATATAACCGTCCTGCTAGTAAAACCGTCAGTGTTCTAGAACTTTCCACACCAAGGGCTCATGTATTCTCTCAGTGACTTTTCCCAACCACCTAGTTTTACAGATGAGTCACAGAGAAGCTTTCAGCTTTAAGCTTTCGAACTTGTAGCTCAGACCCGCCGAAAAGGAGAGGCAAGCCAGGGCTGTCTCCTTCGAGCGTTGCCCTTCAGCCTGGCCTCTGGGTGGGGTGCTGGCTGGGGATTCCCCTCAGCGCCATGGCAACTGGCTTCTGAATCAGACGCCCGCCACCTTCCCCCAGCTTGCTGGTCACAAAAAGCCGCCTCTAAAGGTCAATACCTTTGGGGGGAAACAGTCTATTTTCTTTCTTCTTTTTTTTTAAGTGAGTTGTGTGCTATATGTAGCATTTATATCTACCTCCTGTGCAAAACTGATGTTTAATAAGGTGCCTTCAAAACATCACTAAGAACTATTTTCTTGGCTTCCTTTATTCACTTTGATCCTCACCCAAAGGACGTTTTTGTCATTGCTTTTAGAGAGAGAGGAAGGGAGAGAAACATCAATGCCAGAGAGAGAAGCATCGACTGGTTACCTCCCCTGCATGCCTGGGGGTGGGGGGGGGGACACACACCCCAGACGGGGATCGAACCAGCAACCTAGGCATGTGCCCTGACTGGGATTCGAACCCTCAGCCCTTCAGGTACGTGATGACGCTCCAACCAACTGAGCCACACCAGCCAGGGCTTTTCTTGGCTTTTTAATTCACATTTCAACAGATTCTGACAAATCATCAATAAGAACTTGACTCCCCCTATTTCCCCAAGATAAGCAAATAAGATGTCGGGGGAGCAGGAGTGCCGTGTCTGTCATTGCCACCAATCCCCGTCTGCCTCGACCCCACCCGAAGAGCCGATGGGGACACGGGGGCCTTGTGGTCCCCAGCCTGTACCCAAGCAACCTCTCTCTACCCAAAGCCCAGCATGTACAGTGATCAATAAATACTTCTTGGGTTCATAAGGGAAATTTAAAAATGGGCAGAAGGAGCCAGAAAAAGATGTTGACGGGTGGGAGGCCGTCTTGAGAGAGGAGGCTGAAGGAGTCTCAGCCCGGAAACACCCCAAGTGCCCTCGGCAGGGTGGGGACGGCCCGCCAGCCAGGGCTGCGGCTGCTTCCTCGCCCCCGCCCTCCCCCAGCACAAGCCTTGCCCACCGCAGAAGGCAGGAAGCTGACGTTTATTGAGGGTCTGCTCTGGGCTGCACAGTAGGTGGGCAACTTCACTGATTTCCCCCTGAGCTCAGTCGTGCTGTTCACAAGGTCGGACAGGAAATCCCAGCCCAAAGGGGGGGAGGGGAGGGGGGCTCGTCTGAGGTGGCACAGCCAGGACTCGGACCCAGGGGCACATCCCATTCTATTGCCCCAAACCTCCCCACCCCCCAAAAGGTGGTGAGGAGCAGTATGGACTTCTCTTGGCTCCTGGAGACACGTGACCAGGAGGACAGGCAGTATGCGGGCCCGGCAGGCCCTGTGGGCAGCACCGGCCCAGACTCTCAGAGTGTGACCCAGGGGCCAGCCCGTGTGCCTGGTGGGGAGGGAGGCTGTCACCATGTGCACTGCACACAGGCACTCGTGCTGTTCGCACACACAGGCACACCAGTATGCTCCTGAACCACACGTGCACATAACACACCCAGGGCTCAGGGCCCTGTCAAGGAGGCCAGAGGCTGCAGGCCCCTGCACACCACAGCCCCGGTGACCGCGTCTTCACAGCCCAGTGGCACGGCCAGTTCTGAACAGCCGGCTGCCTGTCTAGCTGGCCTGGGGCCCGGCTCCTGCAGGCGGAGGGGCCATGACCACCCACTGTCGGACGTAGCTCCTCGGGGGCCCCTCGTCCCTGGGGCCAGCGAAGTCACACTCCACAGGGCTGCCGCAGTCCGAGCCCGCAAAGCCGCTGTCAAAGGTGTCCATGTCCAGGCCAGCAGGGGGCGAGCCTTCCTCGCTGTCGGACACCCCTCTGGACAGCCCGCCACCCCAAGGTGGCCCGGGCACCCATCCGGCCTCATTTTCAAAGGGCAGCTTTAGTTTGTCGAAGAGGCTGCCCAGGTGGCCCCCAAGCCTGGCAGGGCCACCAGCTGCCACACAGCCACAAGACAGGACCGTGGCCTTGGTGCGCAAGAGCGGGTCCTCGGCGTCCAGGCCAGGCTCCAGGCCTGCATCCAGGTTCAAGGCCGGATAGCTGTCTTCCTCACAGGTACAGGGACAGGTGCACGGCTTCTGTGCATCCACCACGATCACTGTGTCGATGGAGACCAGGCCGTACGGCCGGTCTCCCTCCTGGCTGTATGCTGAGCTGCTCAAGCTGTCTGCGGTGCAGGGGCTGGGGCCCCAGCAGTCCGGCTCGGGCCCCCTGTCGGCCTCCAGCAGATCCACAGGCTCTGGCAGCACCGTGGTCACCAGCCCCGGGGCCGCACTCAGCGGCGAGCAGCAGCTGTGCATCTCCAGGGTCGAGAGCACCTCTGGGCTCCAGGGGCCCAGCTGCAGGCTCGAGGCAGTGAAGGGTGTGCCCACCCACTTCTGTGAGAGAGAACAGGGAGAAGAGTCACGGGTGGGTCGGGGGCCAGGTGGGCTGCAAACTCAGACAGTGGGCAGCTCGCTGGCCTGAGGCCTGTGTGTGGGCAGGGGCCAAAGCTCCCCAGGTAGTGACATGGGGGCAGGGGAGTCTGGGGTCTGAGTGACAGAGCCCCCCACCTGTCCCCTGTTTTATTTCCTTCAGACATTTCTTGAAACCCAGCATTCTCTTGTTTGTGTCCAACCACAGTGGACACTCAGCCAGGACAGAAGCCCTGGTTCTTCTGGCCACAGCTCCAGCCCCAGAGACTCACACAGGACCCGGCACACAGTAAGTGGCTGGTAAATGTTTAGTAGCAAATGAGTGAGCAGAGTGTGTCAGCAACAGGTGCTGGGAATGGTCTCTGTGTGCAGCAGGGTAGGTAAGGGCTGTGGGGTCTCGATGGACTGAGGCAGCAGCCCCTCAGCACTGAGCATGCCCTCTTGATACAGGGTCTCCATCCAATCAGCAGAGGGGATCCCTGAGAACGGCCATCTCCCAGATCTGAGCCGATCACCCTTGAAAAGTTCACCTAAGAACCCTGATGTGGCCACCACCACTTACTGGAAGTCACTTCTCAGCGGTGTGGCCTTGAACCACGTACCCTCTGTGCCTCAGTTTCCTCATCTGGAAGGGGGGCCTGCTAATAGCACCCACTCCACAGGGTTGCCGTGAGGATTAAGTGAGTTAATGTCTGGAGGCCCCCAGCAGAGTGCCCAGGACACTGCGAGCGCCGTGTGAACACTGCTGCAATGGGCGCAAAACGCTTGTGACGTCTGAGCTCCTTGGACGGAGCCCAGAGAAGAGGAGAGGGTCTGTCCCACGTGGCCTAAGTCCACGCTCCTCCCCGGCCCACCAAAGCCACTTCCCTGATCTGCGCCTGGGTCTCTCACGCCCCTTGGGGATGATGAAGCGTGGCGCAGCCCCAGGCAGACAGCAGACGCTCAATGGATGCGCTAGTCCGCATTTCCTGACCTCCGGCTCGCCTGGAGCAGCCGGGCTGCCCCTCCCGCCCTCACCACATCCTGTCTGTGGGAGGGCCCCTCCCGCCACCGCTGGGTGGGTGTTGAGCCGTAAATGGGCCCAAAGAACCCGTGGGTGCCGGTGGTGTTGCTGTGGTTGAAGCTTGGAGTGGGGGTGGGGGGGTGTATTTTGCAGGCGAGTCCATTCACTTCCCAGAACCTGGTCCTCTCCACCCCCATAGCAGGGGTATCTAAGGACCAGGAAGCCAATCTGTGGCCCGAGGCCCCACCCCAGCCCCTTCCAGTTCCTCGGGCTGGGAGAGGCTGTTTAATTCTGCCCCCTCCCCACTACTTCTGCACTTTGCAGGTGCCAAGACCGAGGTCTGGCTCCTGGCCTGGCTGGGCCCACAGGCTGGGGCAGGGGGGAGGATGGGCTCCCAGAGAGGGTAAGGGGCTTCATGGGGCTGGATACGGGGTGGGGGTTCTCACCTTGAAGTTTCCACTGTGGCCCACATACAGGTGCTGGAAGAATGACTGTGGGTTGGGTACCTTCCACAGCCTGGGAGGGTAGAGATAAGGTGAGACCCTCACATGTCCCAGAGGGCTGCCTGGCCTCCCGCTCAGCTGCCCCCCAACTTTGTCCTGCGGGAGAACGAGTGTCCCCAAAGGCACACCAGGTGCCTCCTTTCCACCGTTCCCCCCACTCCCTGCCTGCCCCGGGCCTCAATGTCCACATTTGTGAACTGAGGGCCATGTGTCTCCCAGGGTTTGGCTGCCTGTTGAGTATGGGGCGAATGTGGCCAGCTGAACCTCACCTTCCCCTCCAGGACCAGGGCGGGCCCAGAGCCAGGGAGTGTGCCCCGTGCCCCACGCCCTGCGCCAAGGGTGCTCCTGATAGCAGTGGCGCCCCCAAGCTTCTCTGCCTCTGTCTCCAGCTGGAGGCGGACAGGATGGGCCGCTTGACCCGGGCTCAGTGCACGGCGGCGGCATCCAACCCCAGCTGGCAGCACGTGCAGGGGCCCAGGGAGCTTATGGTTAACTTTTAATCAGCAGCACCCTTTCTCTCAATGACCGTGTTCAGAGGAAACCAACATATACACAGATGAAAAGCAGAGATAGAGGTGGGCTGTCACCCTTCACCCCACCTGGAGGTCCCTCGAGCCCCTTAGGGCTGAAAGCTTAAACACAGTCACAGCCAAGGCTCGAACCCCGGCCAAGAGCGCAGGGTTCGAAGCCTGGCTCTTGTTTCATGGCCATGCAATTGGGGGCGAATTCCTTCATGACTCTGTGCCTCGGGTCCTGATTGTCCAGTGCAGGTGGCTGCCGTGCACCGAGCTCACAGGCTGCGGTGAGGGTCGAGTGAGTGCTCGGCACGGTGCTCGGCACACAGGAAATGCAGCTGGTCGCCGCCGCCACCACTGCCACCCTCGCTGTCATGATGGCAGCTGTGTCCCCAGCCCTGGATGAGCTGTGGCCCCGTAGAGAGACCGAGGCCCCAGTTGACCCCTGCCCCACTTCCCTGAGCCCCGGGCCTCACCTGCAAGGCCGGTAGATCAGACCTAAGCAGACAAGGGCAGGGATAGTGAAGACCAGGAAGACGTACTGCAGGTCAGGGTGCAAGCCTCCTTTCATCTCTGGGGAAGAAGCAGACACCGGGTGGAGTGAATCCACCGCTGCCAGAGGCCGTGTGGGGCGCGTGTGGTGGGCCATGCGCCTGCGGTGGAGCAGGAGAGGGTGGGAACGCTACTGGTGCCTCGGAGTAAGACCGACAAGGGTTCAAATCCACCTTCCACCCTCACCCTAGGCAAGTGGCTTTATCTCGATGGGCCTGTTTTCTCATCTGCAAAGTGGGGGTGATGACCCTCTCCTCACCAAGCTATTAGGAGTGGGCACACCCTGCCAGGAGGAGCACCTGGCGCCCCATGCAGGGCCTGGCCAGCAGGGGCTCTGGACTTGTCAAGTGGCAACAAGTAGGGGTACTCGGCTGACTGGACACCTTCCAGCCATGCCGGAAGTCTCAGGGCTCAGGGCAAGGTTTGGGACAAAGAGCGGGTGTCCACCCAGCTTCACACATACCTTCTGGCTGGGTGTGAAAGGTGACCGGGTCACTCCACTCACTCCAGGTGCCCTGGAAGTAGGAGCTGGGCTGGGGCCCTGCTCGCACCTGCAGCTCATAGGTGGAGTTTTTGTGGAACTCCAGGGGAAGGAGGGAGACACTTCTTGAATCCACTGAGATCAGCTTTCTCCCTGGACTCTGCCAGCACAGGGCAAAGATGCACCAGGTCAGGGCCACCGGGACCAGGCCCTGCCTCCAGCAGAACCGCCGTCCCAGCCTCCGTGGGAGGGCCAAATCCTTCCTTCAGGGCCTCCACTCCCCCCACAAGAGCCAGGCCCCAGCCCGAGTTCTGGCCCCTGCAGTGTGGGCCACACAGAGCCACAGGCGCTCTCGGCCCTGCCTGCGACGCAAAGCTTTGTGCTGTTTCTCTCTGACCCCCGGGATACCCCACCCTGCTGGGACTGGGGTATCCTGGGAGCAGCGACGGCCACTCCTGGTGATGTCTAGCTGGCAGCATTCCCGACAGTGGACACTTCGAGCATTCTTCAGCAGCAGGTGTTCCCAGGGCATTTGAAAGCCTCCCACTGTGGGCGCCTTAGCCATGGATACCTCTGGGGACATTCTAAAGGGTGGGTCATTCTAGAACTCTTCTAAACAGCGGGCCACTCTGGACCTCTCTGACAGCAACAAAGGACTCCCCTGGAAGCCTCGGGTCTGAAACCATGGTCCTTCTAACACGGGGAGGTTCCAAGTGGCCCCATTCCCGAAACTTCTTCTACTGTCACTAGAATCGAGGTGAACCCAGAGGAAGTGCCAGTCCTTCCCCTTCGGCACGCCGGAACGGGGAGAACGGGGAGAACACGGTCTTAAGGGGCTTCCTGTCCCAGGACTGAGCAAAGACAAGTCAGCACAGAGTGAGAGAGTGTGGGGGTGCCCCTCCTCGGCGTGCCCCTGGTTTCTGAGCATGACTGTGGCTGACAAGTGCCGTCTCTCAGATGCTCCCCTCCCCCACCCAGGTCTCTGCGCCGCCCACCACCCACCCCGGTTCTCTGCACTCACCAGGCTCCAGGGGTCTCCCCACCGCCTGTACTGCAGCTCGTACTGAAGTTTGCCCACGAGTGGGTACGAATCGTAATTGGAGCTCCAGGAGACGTTGTAATGTCCCAGGAAGGTCACAGTCACGTTGAAAGGAGGAGATGGTTTGACTTAAAGAAAAAAAGCCAGAAAGAAAACATGGGGTGTGATTTTGCAGCTTCCGAGAAAGACTTGGTGGCCCACCCTTTACGTGAGCAGGACTGTGACCCCCCTGACGCTGGGCGAAGCGCCTCCCGTCCCTGGGCCTCCGTCCCTTCACCTGAAAAGTGAGAAGCTCAGACCAGACCGGGGCCACAGAGGTGGGCGGGCGATAGAAACGGGGAAGCAGCTGTGGGGACTGACCCGTAAGAGGCCCTCCCAGGCTAAGGGGGACGCGGGACTTGGGCCGGCCCTCAGCGGCCGGGTGGGAGGCGGACCCAGGAACTAGGAAGAAAAACCCTGGACACCCAGGTTACTGTGGGAAATCTCTCAGCTGTTAGAGTTCGCTACTAATCCCAAAGCTTCTAAGCTACCTGTTGGCCAGATCTACTGTTCCTCTGTTTCTGCTTTATTTTTTCTTATTTTTTTAAATTTATTTTGAGAGAGAGGATAAAGGAGGGAGAAAGAGAAGGAGAGAAACATTGATTGGTTGCCTCCTGCAGGCCCCCAACCAGGGGTCCGGCCCACGGCCCAGACATGTGCCCTGACTGGGATTTGAACTGGTGACCTTTCAGTTTGCAGGACGACGCTGAACCCACTGGGCCACACCACCCCGGGCCTCTGTAGTTAATGACACTATTTATCACACTATGATGAGAGCGGCCACTACTGAGTGCCCACGGGGCTGCTGTGCCCGGAGCGGTCTGACACACCGCGGAGGACCCTGAGTGCGACCGCGCTCATCTCGCAGACACCTTTGGGCAGGTGCGAGGGCAGAGACCCAGACCACCGCCCCGCAGCCTCCCGGGTGCCCCTCAGGCAGAGGGCAAAGCCGGGCTTCCGGTTCCTCTCCTTCCCAATTTGGTTCCACAGCGTGAGCGGGACACAACATGGCATGTGCCTCCACTTCCCCTCTTGTGAGAGGGAATCGGTTTCTGTCACACAGGCCGAAAATTCACAGACTGAACTGTTCTGCAGAAGGAGGGAGCGTCCAGGGAGTGGAATGACAAGTGTCGTGTTCCTGTGCAGGGAAGTGACAGGCCCTGGTGCCTTCTCTGAGCCACTCCCACCACCTGAAGCCCTCCGTGACCCTGTTCTCCAGCTGCCTACTCCGGGGTCTTAACTCCTTGGGGCACAGGTTTCCTTCTCCGGGCTCCGTGCTGTGCCTTCACCTCCTCGGACAGAGCTCGGCACACAGTAGGCCCTCCTCCAGAAATATTTGTTCAATTCAGTGTTCAAAAGGAGCTCTGAAGTTGCTTACAAGTCTGCCCCACAGCCTGAGGTGCAGAAGAAGGCGCACCTTCATGAGGCCTTGGTGAGTGCCTTATTGCCGCTGCTGTGTCAGTGACAGTGCTTCTGGACTGGAGCAGTTCCTGAACCCCCTTCTCTTCCCCAGGGCGGTGGAGGCCTGGGTGTCAGCTTCCTTATGAGCCCCCCGCTGGCTGGTGAGGGCCAGTTCAGGGAGGAACTTGGAGCTGTTGGCAGAGCCCAGGGCCCAGGAGGAGGAAGGGCAGGGGAGGGGTGCGCAGGGCACTGAATACCGCTCCTGACAGGTCCGAGCACAGGCTGGGCCTCTGACCCTGGTGGGAGGGCAGGAGGGAGGGGGCCAGAAATGCCCGGGGCTCTCCTCTCCAGGGGCGGCAACGGGCAGCTGCTGCCAGCCTAGCCCTCTCGGAGAGGTAGGAAGGCACCCCTGCATAGTAAACTCACCGCACCTGGAGCTAACTGGTGGGGTGAGTGTGCATGTGTGTATGCATGTGCACGTGTGTGCACAACGTATGAGAGAACATAGGCGTCTGTGTTCATGCCATCTAGGTCAGGGGTTGGTGAAACATCTGTGCCTTTGAGGGAGTGTTTATGAGTGTGTATATGTGTGAAAATCTGGGTGTGTGTGAAGCTTTGTCCACACCCTCTGTGGTGTGACATCCACTCAGCAGAGTGGTGTGACCTGGACCACCAGAGTGTGGATGATAAACACCTCAGCCCCTGGGGGTCTAGGGACAGAAACTCCCACACCTCAGGGATGGGGCCTTCCCAAAGGCAGGATTCTCTTTGCAATTGGTGTTTGCATGCCTCCAGGAACGGGCCTCTCACCCTCTACCCGGACTCCCCGCTTGGGCACACACACACTAAAAGCTGCCTCTGGGGCCCTTCCCTGCCCCGCCCTCATTCTGGATCCACAAAGACAACTGTTTCCACCAACCAGGTCCCTTCTGCCCCTTGGCCTCTCCCCTCCCTCTGGCTGGGAGGGGAAACCCAGGCCTCACTGGAGCCAGTGAACGGGAGGAACCTTGGGGAGGTTGTTTCTTGGGACTCAGTGTCCCCCACTTGCCTCAAAGTGAGGCAGAGCCCCCAAGGGTCTGAGTGAGAAGGGCTCCCACTTTGTCGCCAGCGGGCAGGGCCACACCAGACTGCAGGGTCCGAGCCCGGCCCTTCCACACCTCTGCTGCCCTCTGCGGTTCAGGTGCACGCCCCAGGGCCTCCCATCACACCTCCATGAGCAGAGGGCATCTGAAGGGCAGAAACCTAATGAGAGGTTAGGCTGGGCATAGGACAGGTCACTGTGGGGGGTGCAGGGAGAGGCCTGGCCCAGGGAGAAGAGGCCCAACCCCCACCTGGGCCCTCCTCCAGGGAGTACTCACTGCTATCGGCCAGGACAAAGCTGCCACACTCCTGGGAGTGGTTCCCAGACAGGTCTGTCATGTTGACGCTGAACATGTCATCGGCCATGAAGCGGAACACATCCATGTGGCACGTGTATTTTGCATGTGTGGCATTGTAGGTGGACCGGTGGAGGCTGCAAGAGGTGACCTCATCCACCAACTCTCCATTCGAGTCTTGCCTTCAAGGACAGAACAGCCAGTCACAGCTGGAGGCCGGGTGGCTCAGTGCGCCTGGCCAGGGCAGGCGCCTGGGATCTTGGGAAGGAGGGGCTTGAAGTGGGGCTGGAGGGCACCCCGTGCAGCCACCCCTCCCCTCGGGAAGGGACACGCTCCCCTGAAAGCGCCCCAGTGGACCCGGTCCAGGCTCAGCCTTCATGCCTCCAGGAGACCAGGGGCTCGCGGGCGCATCGGAGCCGCAGCTCTCAGCTCGGAAGTTTGAGCCCTTCTGGCCTCAACTGGGCCTGACTCTGTCCCTGCCCTGGAGCCAGGGCGCTACACATTTCAGGTCTCCTTCCCACTCTCCTTTCATCCAAAATCCACTGAACGCCCATAAACACCTGTACTGAGTACCAAGCTAAGAGCAAAACGGACCCCAGTCCCTGCTCTGGGCAGACTCCCAGGGAGGTTGCTAATATGGGGTTGGGGAAGTGCTCTGGCTCTTTAACTCCACTAGGCAGAGACAATGGCTTTGGACTATGCCTAGAAGTTCACCAGCCACTCACGTCCCTGCCTACACATTCAGGCTGTGAACACGACCACCGTCCAGGGCCAGCATGGATGCGTGGGCTCAGATCTCTGTTAAAAGTGCTGGGATTGAAATTTCTCTCGAATCAATGCTCTCCAAGCCTACAGCCTGGACCACTGAAATGGCTATCTGGGGGTGTTGCCTTGCCCACCCTCCCTGCAATCTATTTCTTATGCGCAGCGGGCGGGGGTGGGGGGGGTGGGGGGGGTGGGGAGGGGCTTTAAAACCTCCCTGCCACAGCCATAAAACTCCACCCACACAATATAATCTGACCCCTGCCAATCTCTCCCCTCCTTCACTTGTCATTTTCCCCAACATAGGTTCACTCCCCTCTGGTCACACCAACCTCCTCACTATTCCTCCAACTCGCCAGCTCTCCGTGCCTCAGGGCCTTTGCACACGCAGCACCCGCTGCCTGGAATGCCCTTTCCCCAGCTCCCTGGCTGCCTCCTTCTTATCCAGGGACGCCTGCCCTGACCCCAGAGGCCCTCCCCCACGTCACTTGCTCTCTGCCCTGTGGTCCAGCCTCCTGTTCTGTACAGCACTCGCTGTCATCAGAAAGCATCCCGCTGGCTGCTTGTGTTTATCATGTCTCGCCGGTCATTCCCACTGCAGCGGGTCAGCCCAGGACACCTGGGACCTCACCAGTTTGGGCTCTGCCGAGTCACTGGTGCTTGCAAGTGTCAAGCAGGAGCTCAATAAATGTGTTCTAGATGAATGAACGGATGGATGGATGGATGGATGGATGGCGACAGAATAGAAGCCGGCTGGTCTTTACCCTGAGCGGCCTGTTGACAGAGTCTGTCCTTGACCAAACCCGACTTAGGTGCCTCTGGACTCTCTCCTCCCCTGGGCCCTGGCTTTTGGCTTTCTGCGTCTGTCTCTGCATTTGCTACTTTTAGCAAGACTCCTGCTACCTCAGTTTAGCCAGACTCCCCACCCTTAACATCAAATCGGGTTCCTCACGCTCTGCCATCCCTGGGTGATGTCCGACCCCCTGCACTGCCACCAGCAGGAGTCCTGTCAGGTCAGCACAGCCAGATGCCCCCTGACCCCTGACCGTTCCTCCCAGTCGTTTGCCATCCACTGACCCCTTCCTGCTCCTCAGCTGTAAAGCCCAACTCTTCCTTGTTGCATTCAGAGTTGAGCTGAACCTCTCTCCTACATGGCAGAAGCCCAGGCAGGGTCACCATACCAAGCATGACTTAAATAAAGTCTGCCCTACCCTTGCATGATGAGTGTCATGCATGATTCTCTAACAATATGGACACATAGGGGCCCATGGGTTTTGGAGTCAGGCTGCCTGTGTTTGCATCCCAGGTACACTGTTCACTGGCTGTGTAGCCTCAGGCAAGTTGCATAACCTCTCTGAACTTCATTGTCCTCACTTACAAAATAAGAGTCAAAATTGTGAGGACTGGGGACAACCACTGTGTGAGTGACAGAGTGTGGCCCTTGGAGCTGGCCAGAGCTGGCCCTGTCCCTCCAGCTCATGCTCCGGACAAGCCCCGTGAGCCCTGTGCAGTCCTCTGTCAGACGAGCACAGCCACTCCCACCTCACAGTCTTTCTGGGGCTGAAACGAAATGCTGTCGCTGAAGTTGCTGAGTGAGCCCCGGAAAGTGGCAGCTATTATTTTTATTGCCAAACTACCTGCTGGGCACACAGCAGGTCCAGCTCAGCCTGTGGTGTCCCATGGTCCCGCCCCAGGACCATGCTCCCCTGAGTAGCACCCTTAGGGCCAGGGAGGCCCACCACTTACCAGGTGAGGGTGAGCATGCTGGGGTGGAGGGTCCATGTCTCCAGGATGCAGGTGACCGTCTGGAAGTAATCAGTGTAGCAGACGAGGTCTGAGCAGCCACAGGCTGGAGGGTGAGGGGAGAGAGAGGCCTCAGTACGGGTGGGAAGGGGGCTGCAGAGCTGCTCCCCTGCCCCTCCAGGGCTGGCAGGCGTCCCAGGGCCAGGGCGACTATGGTGATTTGGGGGCCACGAAGATGTGGGACTGAGGCAAGGAGGGCTTGGTCACCTAAGATTCCTTGTTTGAGCCCTCAGAGTTTCAAGGCTAGCTATGGAGATAAGGCACTCCTAACGAGAAACAACTAAGCGGGTCCCACCTTGGTTGTCTCCCCAAGGGCCCTGTGTCGAGCCACCAGGTCAGCGACCCTCCCGGCCAGCCTCCCTCTCAGGCCAGTGCCTCCTGAGCTCCCCCAACGCAGGGCGAACCTGTACACCCTGGAGAGCCCTCCACGAACCAGCGAGAGCGCTGATGCAGGTGCCGCGGTCCCTGACCAGGAGCGGCCCCCTGCTCTGCAGCAGCTGGTCCACGCGAGAGAGGCCACGGGCCGCAGAGGTGCCGCCAGGACAGCTTGGGACTCCGAGAAGGCTTGGGTGCTCTCGCCAAGTGTCTGCATCGCCCTGCTGCCCACCCCAACGCTCCCACCACCACGGGCTTGCGGGTCGCCCACTCAGGCAGCTTCCCTGGAAGGTTTAATGCTCCCCTGCCTCCGGCAGCTACTGCTTCCCTTCGTGCTAACGTAGAGGCACCGCCATAATCTAAATTTGTTCCACGTTTGACAAAATAAACTGAATACGTTTTAGTTTTGTAAGATCAAGTGCCAACACTCTTATTTTTTCCACAGTATTTACCAAAATACTGTGTCCCCCTTCTTAAGTGGATTCATTTTTAGTGGCTTTTTCCTATTTTTCTTGACTAAAGACCCAGGGGGTGGGGGGTGGTCCCTCCCACTCCAGGTCAGAAGCTGGATTCGCAGCCAAGAGCACTGTGGCTGGGAAGTCCCTTGGTCCCCTCCACCCCAGTTTCCAGGCCGGATCACTGAGGCTGCAGGTCCGCACCGCACCGTCCCTCTTTCTCTCCGTCTGGGCTGCTGCGGCTCACCCAGGAAGTCAGGTCTGCGCCAGTTCCCCCCACACACGGTGGACACTGTGCACACCTGGTGACCCTGTGTTTCCCGGACGCAGTCTCAGGGTCCCCAACAGCCCTCGGGCAGCTGGGACCATGGGGCCGAGCTGGGGGCAGGAGCCCTGCTGCAGGGGCCTCCCTCCGGGAGGTGCAGGGCCTGTCCGTGGGGCACAGACGGCTCGTTCTGCATCAAACGTGGAAAATGGAGGCTGATTTCGGCAGGACCTCCACGCAGCGCTGCAGCAGCCTCCGTGTGGCCACCTGCTCCGCGCCCGTGTCCTGTGGTTCTCTCGGGGCTCTGGCACTGGGAGAGGGGCTGCCACATCTTCCTAGCTGGGCTCAGGGCCACCAAGGGACAGGGTTTGCCCCAAACTTGGAATGGAAGATTGGGGAGGGACAGCAGCCCCTAAACTAGCATGGAGGTGACATCAGGGACCAGAGGGAGAGAAAACCCATTTTCCTGGTTAGCGCCCCCACTCTGGGCTAAGATCCCCGGCACCATCCCTCATCGGGGGTCATCACAGCATGGCCATGTACCCAGCGGGGCACTCACAAGGGCCCCCTGTCACTGTGTAAACTGGGGACACGGCCCCTTGGAGTGTGTGGAGGTGTGCCCGGGACGTCGTGCCGCCGCAGCCCACGCCCAGTACAGCAGCCAAGGCAGGTGGTGGAGGCCACAGGAGTTGGGCGGATTTATGCTCGGGTCCCAGATCCGCCACTGCCCAGCTGCGTGGCCGAGGGCCTTTCCCTAATCCTCTCTGCGCCTGTTTTCTCAGCTGAGAACAGGCGTCACTACAGCACGGGCCTCACGGGGCTACCGGGAAAGGACAAGACAGATGATGCCCAGCACCGGCGTGCAGCAGGGCCTCCGGGTGGCGCCCACGTGGCATGGGGCTGAGGCGGGCGCCCCGCAGGCCTGCTGGAGTCCAGCCAGAGTGCTGGCACTCAAACAGGCAAAGAGAGGAGCCCGGACCCCGTTCCCTGCAGAAGCTGTTCGAGGCTCTGGGCCTTTAAGTTAAAGCCGGAGAGAAATGCCGATGGTCAGCGGCTGCTGCGCCGGGCCCTCCCGCCCCGGTCCGGCCCCACTCTGGCTTGTGTGCGGTACCTCACCTACTCTGGGACGGTGTCCCGGGTCCCTCAGCCCCCGTGTCTAACTCGCAGCCCTGTCCAGCTTGGTCTCTGACATCCACCCACGACTGCAACATCTGGTCCTCCGGAACCACCTTCCAAGCTCGGGCTACTTCGGTCTCCACCTCCACTCTCCCCCACTGGGGAACACAGTGTCTGCTGAGGGTGCAGTGACGGTGGAGAAGATGCGCTAGGAGACACCGAGGTGGGACCAAAGGCAGGATTCCTCGCTCTGCGGGCTGGGCTGGCCAAGGCGGAGAGCCGTGGGAACGAAGGACGCAGCCCCTCACCGCCTGGCGAGACACGGAGACCCGAGCTGCAGGCTGGGCTGCCCCAGACCTGCCTGAACGACTTCTGGCTAGTGAAGCTCTCTGGCTGGACGGATTCTGGTTCGTGGAGAGCCGGCTGCTCCCCCTGCGTCAACCTCGAGTGGACACAGGCCACAGTCTGACCCCAGGGCCTCCTCCAGCCGAGACGCAGAGCATGCGCCAGCCCGGCCCTCCCGTGCACATGGTGGGCCAGCTACTCACCGCCGTGGAGCATCAGCAGGAGCAGAGGGGCGGCCCAGCCACGCGGCATGCTGACTCCCGGGGCCTGGAAGAGATGCACAGCAGAGGGTGGGCCTGGGCCTGGGATCGAGGGACCTGAAAAGCTCTCCCCTGGTCCCTGCCTCTCCCTGGGAGGACTTGCCTCCGATTCTTGGATCTGTCCCAGAAAAATAAGACTTTGAGGAGCCCAAGGACACCCCAAGAATTCCTGCCCCTTAAAATGGCTGACTCTCCCCACGGACCCCTCCCCACTCCTCCTTACGTGGGCACAGAATGACGGGGGGATTCAAAGAGGGAAGGGCTCGCTGTTGCCCCCCACACACCCAGTCTATGCTGCGTGTGGAGTTAAATGCAGCATCTATGCAGCTAAGAGAGAAAGAGGGCGGGCGAGGGTGAGAGGGAGGGGAATACCAGCCCGGAAAGTGGTATTGAATGAGCCACGATGTCAGGTCCTCCTTCCCACGAAACACCCATGTTGCCATCGGCCCTACAAATTGTCTCCTTTCTAAACAACAAATCCAAGACTCGCCCACAGAGAAGACCCTTACCGAACACCCAGGATAAGGTCAGTCCAATAATGAGCCTGTCACTCAGTCCCGAGCCCAGGCCGGCCCCTGAGGAAACACAGACGGAGGCGGCCTGGACCGGATACGATGGAGGGCAGGCCTCTCTGGAGACGGAGCAAGCCTGTCCGGCAAGACTGTGCTTTGGTGCCCTGGGTGGAGGAATGGCCCAGGCTGGCAATGCCAGTCTCCCACTGGTACTTTGCCCATCACACCCTCAGTTCTGTGTCTGCTTGGGGAGGTGCCAACCGGAGGCCAGTGAGTCCGCCTGCCAGGCCCAGGAGCCCTCCCAGACCTCCCCCACAGACAGGGGGATAGCTGGAACAGGGGCCGAGGGGGACGGCCCACACAGAGACCCAGTCATCCATGTGGCCCCTTCCAGGCACCGTCCCCGAGCCCACACCGGGAGGGCCCCACCATCCAGGTTCCCCCAGACCCTACTCCAGCCCCATCGAGAGCGCTCTCTGAGCTCTGGCCAAGTCACCAAGTGGGCAGTGGCGAAGCACACAGAGAAGTTCGGATTACCAGCTGTGTGGCTCCGGGCCAGTCGCCCCCCACTCTGAGCCTTGCAGGAAACAGTAAAGCACACTTCCAGGATTCTTGGGAGAATTCAAGGAAGTGATTTGCAGGAAGCCTTGAGCAGGGCTCCTGACACATAAACACTGAGTAATGTAGAGCTTAGAGCATCAGAAACTAAAGAATTCCAGAATGATCTAGACAAAATGTCCCCAAATTTCTCACTTTCAAATGTTGGCCGTATTTGTGGGTTGAGTGTACTGTTATTTATTTAACATGTTTTCTATAAATGAAGTCACTTAAAAATTAACTCCAACCTCATCCTAAGCAGTACTCTCCATATTGTGCATTTTTTTCCCAACATGTTAAAAAACGAATAACATTGTTACTAAAACGAGCCTATGTTGGGGCAAACCCCATTTAGAGCTGCTTTAGGGAACCCTGATCTGTACCAAGTCCCACGCCACAGGGGTCCTGTGGCCACACTGAGGACTCGACCGCCCATTGCGGGAGGTGGGGTTGGGTCTGCCCCTCACTGGCGCGTCCATACCCGCAGCCCCAGCCCCAGCACAAGGCCTGGCGCAGCTCTGTCCAGTTCACTCTCCAGCGGCTCCACTGCAGCCAAGTCCAGATTCAAGTCTCCTCCCCCCACATTCCTCAGTTCTGCACAAGTGACACACAGGCCCGGGGGATGGAGGGAGGGAGGGCATCTGCTGCTTCTGTCTGCCTGGAGTCTCTTCCCCTCACATGAGGAGCTCCTCCAGCCAGCAAAGCAACCCCCCTTCCTGGCCACAGTGAGTGGGTCAGGAATGGACACCAACCCAGGCAAGGCCAAGGAGTCCTGGGATTTTTTTTCTAGAACTCTAATTAAGAGGAATTTTGGGGGTCCCTACTGGAAGCTGGTACCCATCTCTGTCACCTCTTATAGAAAAGCTGCCTGAAAATGATGCCAGTACTGAGAAATATAGAACTGGAGTCCCTATGGCATCATTTGAGGACCTGGATCCAGCTGCATCTGAAGTCCACGCCTGGCCTTTTCATTTACACAAGCCAAACAACACGTATTTTGCTCAACCATGTTGACTTATGCTTCTGTTGCTTGCCACGGAGGCAACCTGATACAGTGGAATAGAGCTCAGGGCCCAGAAGGAAGCAGAGGCTCTTGGAGCTTCTCTGGTCCTTCCGAGCTCAGTTACCATCTGTAACATGGGGATGGGCACTAATGCCCACCACACCTGGCGGTGAAGAAGAGGCAGAGGGAGAGCGGCGGTGGCAGCGCTCTGCAGACTATGAGTTACATACAGGGTGCTGGGTTCTTGCTGTGACTGGTCTGCTGCTCCGAGTTACTCACTCTCCTCGGGCACCCCACGCCCCATCATGCCCCATCACGCCTCTCTGCCTCTGCATGACCCAAATCCTCGTGTGGCGTCTTCTCCTTGAATGCCTGTCCCCTCCCGTCACTCTCACTCGGCACCAGGGCCCGAGTGCCCCACCCCTGCACCCGCGAGGCCGCACCGAAGAGTTCCAGGACTCCCACCACCGACGGCATTCAGGGCCTTCACCCACTGGCTGTTTATCTTTATTTTACCTCGTACTTTTTGCTCCGATAAACATGTCTTAAAAGACGATGTAGTATCACTGCCACCGACAGGTGTATCACTGGTATGAAATGGGGAGGCAGTGTGTACCACAGTAATCGGAACACAGACCTGGGGCCAGCCTGCCTCAATCCCCATCCCAGCACCGCCACGCGCAGGCTGTGTGACCGAAGGAAGTTCCCTGTCCCGGCCTCAAGGTCCTCATCTGTGAAATGGAAGTGATAATAGCAGTACTTACATCATAAGGTCCTTGGGAGAATTAAATTAGTCAACATTTGTAAAACATTTGAAACAGAGCCTGGTATAGATGTTATATACGTATTTCTTAAACAAAACAGTCAACTTGCCATAAAGCCATATACAGTGAAATGCAAAAACTAAACACAAGAAAAACAAAAGACAGTAACTACATTTTAAGAAAATAGTACCCCCTGCCTAAGACTCTCAGGACTTGGGATCTTGTTTGCCTTTGTTTAAAAAGGACCAAAGAGTGTCAGAGAGGAGTTTAAGACACACTAGCACCACTCTGAGATTCTCATCACTCCACCATCAGAGGATCTGAAGCAGGCAGAAAAGGGGTCCCGGGACATTTGACACCATCTAACCCTTTCACCAGGGCCCAGGGTTATTTGACACCATCTAAAATAAGCCGCTCATGCTGGGCAATGCGGCAGGTGTCGCCTCGCGCTCCCACACACCTGAAAGGGAACCCCTCCCCACCCCACTGTGTTCCCTGCCCTGAATCCACTTCCTCGCGGGTCTTCCCATCAGGCTGACTCCCGAGGGCAACAGCAGCTTCCTTCCCAGATGCACACCAGACCACCAGGTGTGCTTCCTGAGTGAAGGTCCGAGGCTTCCGGCCACGGGAGCCCTGCAGTAGCGGCCTAGCCTCTGCAGTCTCCTACAGCGGAGTGAAGGGCGCCTGGCTGGGCATCTGCCAGGTCCTGTCTGGGTATCCTGGAGCAAGTCCCCGACCCTTCTGATGCTGTCTTCTCTATAAGGTGGAGGGCACTACCCTTTGCCGCAGGTCTGCGGTAAGCATCAAATGCGTCCTTGCAGGCGGAGCACTCCCCCGAAGTCCGGGGGCGGAGCCCTGCAGAGGGGCGTCTCCGCCGGCTTCCAGTGCAGAGAACTGGTTTCTGGGCTGGTGGTTACTGACTGAAAGCTGGCGGGATTTCAGGGGAGTCGGGGGCAACGGAGAAGCTCGGGGGCAGGAGATCAGGATGAAGCAGCTGCTGTGGAGAACATAAAGTCCCGCCTCCACAGTCAACAGAGGAACGTAGATAGGAAGCACAGCTACACACCGTTTTCATCTCGCCAGCTGGAAAAGACTAGCAGTCTGAGGACACCAAGTGAGGCCGAGGACATCACGGAAAGGTACCGCTCACTCACAGTTAGTGGGAATGTAAATTGAAGCAACTGGTCTGAAAAAGACCAGGTTTGGATAAAGTTAGCTTTATCCAAAGCCTCTATATTTTTCATATGCAATGTACGGCACTCACTTAAATTGACAAGGAAAACCAAAAAAAAAAAAATATATTGAATGCCCAAAAACAAAGAGAAAAAGAGGCAATGGACATAGACACATAGGTGATTCAGAAAATGATGCTCAGATATGATTTTAAAATAACTATGATTAACATGTTCAAGAATTCCACCAGAAATATGAAATCTATTTAAAAGCAGAAACCCTAGAAATGAAAATGCAATAACTAAAATGTATAAAGACTGAATTAATGGATTTAGCAACAGATCAGAAACATGGGAAGAAAGGATTGGTAAACTGAGAAACTGATCAATAGAAAATACTGAGAGTGAAGCATGCAGAAAAAAATTTAAAAATACAGAAAAGAGACATATCAGATGTTGTGCAAAGGTCTGAAATACACATGTTTGGAGTTGAAGGAGAACTACTCAGAAGCAATAATAGAGATGATTATTGCATTAAGTATTTTCCAAAACTAGGAAAAAACATTGTCACAGATTTAAGAAGTGCTACAAAACCCCAAAAGGAAAAATACAAAGAAAACCACATCTAAACACATCATAGGGAAACTTTAAAAAAAAATTAAAAGTAGCCCTGGCTGGTGTAGCTCAGTGGATTGAGTGCCAGCCTGTGAACCAGAGTCACCAGTTCGATTCCTGGTCAGGCCACGTGCCTGGGTTGCAGGCCAGGTCCCCAGTTGGGGCCACATGAGAGGCAACCACACATTGGTGTTTCTCTCCCTCTCTTTCTCCAACCCATCTCCTCTCTAAAAGTAATAAATAAAATCTTTTTAAAAAATAAAAAATAAATACATACGTACTTAAAAGTCAACTTAAATTTTATATCCAGCAAAAATCACCTTAAAAAAAAAAGAAGTTAAGCT